CTATACCATAAGTCGACAATTGCGCAACACTCATTTCATTACTTTACCGTTCAGTCCTTCTCTACTTGATCTTTCCAACTCATGTACCACACATTCCCTGTTGTCAAAGCGTATAGGTCAGTAAATCGCTAGCTTCTCTACCATTTCGTATTCAAATATTTCGGTCTCTCTGTTTTTTTTTTCTGTCTGCAATCTTGAAATGTCGGTACCTCTCACACACCTCAACGTTCTGATGAAGGCATTATTTTTTTTCTCTTGAAACTTGTTTCGTGCGGATGTCAAAGTTGGACAGTGGCAGAGGTATTGCTCAATGGTCTCCAGTTGTTCTGTTAATGGAGAACCGGTTCCAGAATCATAAGATGTTTAGATTTTTTCGCGTCCAACTTCGGCCATACGCTGTCTGGTCAAGTTAGACGTGATCTCGTTCAACCATCGTGAATCAGCTTTCCTGGTGAAGGCCAGTTTGAGCATCTACTCAGCCGTGTCCGAGGCCGACGACCTATATATATGTTCTTCTCTTTTCGTCGAACGTTCCAAAAAAAGGGGAATATTCGGTGATTTCTAAAATTTAGTCAAATGAGAATTATGATTAGTTTTTTTATGGAAAACTTGAAAAACATTAAAAAAAATTGTGACTTGGCTTTTTCTTAACGGTTATAAAATACCACAAAAGCATGTTCATAAAAGTTTATTAATTTTTTATCTTTTATTTTAACTAAAAAAAAAACTTAATAAACACATTTTCATAAAAAAAAATATGACAGAACAAACATATGTTCTTCCACAGAGCTTGTTCTCCACTCCACACTCCAGGCGAAAATATTGTCAAAATGCTTCAATATAAGCAAATTACTGACTAAGCGTCGGCAGCGGTTTGCAAAAAGGTGTGGCCACTAGTCATCATAGTCAGCAATTCATTTTTGAGTTAATTAATTAATTTAAATGAAGACTTGTGTTGTTGCATTAAAACTAAACGCTTATGGTAAACATTAAAAAGACAAGAGAACATCATCGCAAATATTTCCTGCTTTTAGTGGTGTTGTAGTTGTGTTTCTTGTTCCAGTTGTTTTAGCTGTTGTTGCATAATTTTTGCATATTCATAAAGAGTTGGTTGTGTAGTCAGAATATATGACAAGCCCAGACACTAATTTTCTTATTACTACACATAATGTAATGGAGCACAGTGAATATGAATGTGTGTGTACGTGTGTTTGTGTATCTGGAAACAACTGTTGTGCCTTGCGGGCTTTCACATTTGTTTAATTTTTGCAAATTTTTGGTTTTATTACACCGCTTGACTTTTATAGTTCTACTTTATGTTTATAATTCTTAATTTTTACTCCTTTTTTTGCATAAAAAATTCGTTTGTTATTATTTTTGCTTTGCTCTTTTTTTTTTTTTTTTTGGTTATGCAATTAATAAGATAAGTAGAATATTTAGTCTGCGCTCATTTGTCTGATTGCCTGCTTGCATGATTGCACATGGCTCATTTGCTTGGGTTGTTGTATGTGGGAGTTATGTTTTCTCATTTTTATTTTCGCTCCAGTCTGTCTGACGAATCATTAATTTAGTCAAATAATCATGATTTATTTAAAGCCTCACTTGAACTCACATGAATTCCTTGATTGACTGTACAGCCGATTCCCAGACAATTTTGATAGGAAAAAACAGAAGGAAGAGAAAGTGGAAAAGAATATAAAAAAGATTGAGCCAGCTGGCAATTTGCTACTTATAGTATTATCCATTTTGTGGTCTCAAGTGTGAAGGACTCTATTTTGACGTCGGTCCAACTCAACTTTCAAATCAAACATGTTTTGTTTGATTTAAACGTGGCCACGTTGCATGCCAAAGCAGAGGAGATTATGGTAAATATTAGGGTCAGGTGTATATAGTCATCCAACTGCTCAAGCAATTGATAAAATTTTTAAGAAATTTAAAGAGACTGAATCGATCAGTAACAGATGCATCATCGTTTTGCTCCTTTCACCTCAAATCTCGCTACTGTAAGTAAAAATGTTTCTTTGCGTTTCGTTATGGCGTATTTTTCACTTGATTTATACCTAGATCCACATAAAGTCCAGCTCACACTACTAACATAAGAGGATTAGATGCTTTAATGTCACACAAGTTCGATTTTTCGAACTTTTTTCTTGAGGGATGCGTACATAAGCAAATCCGTCGCATTTGGGGCTCCGAGAACCTTCAAAAAATGGGTGAGAGACCATAGCAACCTTTGGTCCGGAGGTGTGACTGGACTTTACTTCCTTGAAAATGACGACGGCAAGACTGTCACTATCAATTCGCAGCATTATGGTCATATGATGTCCTACTTTTTTTGCCTACAATTGAAGAACACGACTTTGACAATGTATGGTTTCATAAAGGTGGTGAGACATGCCGCACAACACGAGCGAAAATAGTTTTATTGCGAGAGAAATTTCCCGTACGCGTCGTAATCGTTCGCCTTGGCGGCGAAAATTGGCCACTGACAGACTTTTTGTTGAGCTACGTTGGACTTTTTTGCGGAGCTACGCGAAAAACAATATTTAGGCGGATAAATCTTTAATTCTTGAGCATTTTAAAACCAACATCCATCCAATTATGGCTGAGATACCGGCAAATATGTACCGAAAATTGGTCGAAAATTATCTCAAACGTTTCGAAGTTTTCAAATATTCGCGAGGTGGTCATTTCAATGCTGTAGTGTTTCATATAAATATAATGCACAGATTCGAACTTTACAATAAAAAAGGGATTTCGTAAAAAAAAAAATATATAATTTTAAGTGCATTTTATTTACGTCTCTAATTAAGCATCATCTAATAATAAAGTTTTCCAGAAACCGTAGAAACAAACTGGCAAATTTTCAGTATAATCTACAGGGTAGCTTCGGCGATTTTCTTTCAAGAAAATTTTACAATTTCCTAAAGTTAACTACAAAGACAAACTTTTATTTGCATACATACATATGTTTTTTTATTGCTTACTAAAACTTTTAACCTCCAAATATAATAAGTATGTACTCATATATATTCATTTCTCTTAACCTTTTTCGATGACCTTTTTAGGTCTGCCCTTTTGTCGCCATATTAGTTTCAATTGTATCGTCGATTATTCACTATCACATTCACATACATACATATGTGGTTTAATTGCTAATTCCAACAACAATATATATATTACTTGATGTAATTTAATAGACACATGGAATACACCATTAGACCAAATAACGGTTGTATAAAACTTCGCTTAGAAGTTACTTAACTATTCAATTCTCATTTTCCTTTACAAGTTGTAAACGATTGCATCGGTGTCAATTAGCCTAAGTAAATATCCATAGATGCTCGTAGATATGTGAAAAGGATGTTGAATAGGAATAAAATTATACTGAAAGAAGTCTTACGCGTAGCAAAAAAATTGTATATCAGTCAGTCTTTCGTGAATGAAGAAGATAGCATTTTCTAATATAAAGAATCGAAAGAAATACAAAAAGAAGCAACTTAGTTTTAGAACATTTCCAAGGTCTGTCTCAAGAAAATGCATACAAAGCTTTAAATGGCTTACCCTACATTGGCACGTTGTCAAAATTTCAGGAATTTAATAAAGCATAAAGCAAGTATTCCCGTCAACTACTATACATTTTTTTCTGCAATGGTGCCAAAGTTCATTGACAGCGACCACTTCGAAGTCATTATTACGTAGGAATCCTTCAGAAGGAGGTTCCAAGCATCAAATATTCAATTAATAATATATGTCTGAGTCTTGGTATTTTCAATACAATCTTGAAATCAAGCACCAAAGCGCCGGATGCAGGCACCGAATGATCCGTTGCCGAAAAAAGTGGGCTTATGACTGTTCGGCGCAGTTGGAAATATCAATATCGTTCCAACAGATATCTGCTGTTGACAGCATTGAGTGATTTCATCGATTCGAGCACAGCCACTGCGTGTATTTCGTACAGATCATCGCTCCATCGCCTGTATTATTCGCGGAATGCGCTGTGGCAGGCAATATTTTTTCTTCAGCGGCACTTTCTAGATGCTCATAGAAAGCAGCTTGGCCACATCATCCATTCTTTCGGACGGGCCATAGCCGCAAATCAGCGGTAAATTAAAGGAAGTTGAAGTAGCGAGACATCATCCACTGGGTAGTATGTCGGGACTCTGCCAAGGAGGATCTTACCACCAAACATCCAACAATAAATTTATGCTTCTTTATATGGCCCGTTGTGCTCGATTTCGAAAGAACACAGTTTTTTCTGGCATTGCATCGCACTTCTTGGCTGGCGGTGATGCCAACCTCAATTTTTACTGGAACATGAACCAGCTGGACAACGGTAGTGACTGTAATCAAAAGAGGTTTCGTTCGTGGGAGACTTCTTGTATTTTTTTGGGGCAGTCTAAGACCGAAAGATGTGAGCTGCTTCAACCATATGTAAAAAATAGTTCAGGGGGACATCAGTAAAAAGCTTTCCACACTTGGGTGAACTTCTATCTATGCCAGCTTGGGAACACAATGCCTTCGATCGGTTCAAAGAGCCTCTTAATGTCCGAATTACAACTTTCAAAACTTTGAAGATAAATTAATTGAAATCGTCGGGACTCACTGAATTGATCTAACCTCAAACGGAAGGCGCCGGGACAAATTAGTTTCTTTAGACTGTCACCTTTCGTGATATAGATCACTTCTTTCAAGAAGCTTCAATACAACGAGGTCAATACAGTAAGTTAGCTTTTAATTTAAACGTTGAAGCTAAATGCTTACACAGAGACTATTAAAAGCCTATTCGGATCTCGGATCAAAGCTCAAAACTAAGCCTCGGGAGACATCTGGACCAATTTATACGAGATGATTTCTACGAAGCGGAATCCCAAATCCCCATCAAACGTTTAATATTTTAAAGATCTTAGAGTGTCACCACATTTTATAATATATTTTTAATATCTCGAATCTTCTTGCCTCCACACTAACGGTTTTCTACCTTCTTTTTTTTTTTGCAGTTACCGATGGATCAAAAACGGCAAAAAATTCGATTGGCAAGCCTACGACAACCGCATGCTGCAACAGCCCGGCCGTGGTACACTCGTAATCACATCACCCAAAGATGAGGATATGGGACAGTATCAGTGTTTCGCTGAGAACGAATTTGGTACAGCCACCTCAAACTCGGTATTCGTACGTAAAGCCGAATTGAATGCATTCAAAGATGAAGTAGCGAAAACAATCGAAACCAACGAAGGTGAGCCCTTCTCGCTCAGTTGCGAAGCGCCCGACGGTTGGCCCAAACCCATTGTCAATTGGTTGATACAGCATTCTTTGGAAGGCACCATTAAGTCGATCAACAACTCACGCATGACACTCGATCCCGAAGGTACTCTCTGGTTCTCAAATGTGACACGTGAAGATGCTTCCGATGATTTCTTCTATGCCTGCTCGGCTACCTCAGTGTTCCGTAATGAATATAAGATCGGTAATAAAGTTTTGTTGGATGTGAAACAGACCGGCATCAGCGCTGCACTGAACAAACAACAGCCGAAACGTCAATATGTGACACGTAAAAACGAGGTGGCATTGCGAGGTAAACGTGTTGAGTTGTACTGTATTTTCGGTGGCACACCGCTGCCGCAAACAGTGTGGTCGAAAAATGGCGCGCCTATAGAATGGAGCGATCGCATAACGCAGGGTCACTATGGTAAATCTCTGGTTATCCGTCAGGCGAGCTTCGACGATGAAGGCACTTACACCTGTGATGTTTCGAACGGTGTTGGCAATGCACAATCATACTCCATCAAACTGCAGATCTTGGCGACACCGTACTTCACCAAAGAGCCGGAGGTACAAAATGCCGCAGAGGATGAAGAAGTCACATTCGAGTGCGCTGCAGCTGGTAATCCCGAACCGACAATTCAATGGGTACATAATGGCAAACCAATCGCGCAGTCACCACCTAATACACGCCGTATTGTTGAAAATAATAGAATTATCATACGTGATCTTGTGAAGGCAGATACGGGTAATTACGGTTGTAACGCCACCAATTCGCTTGGCTACGTCTACAAGGATGTCTACCTCAACGTTTTGGCTCTACCACCAGAGATTCAAGAAGCACCACGCAAGGAAGCCACCGTTGATGGTAAAAATGTAACTCTGCGTTGTCGTGTCTTTGGTGCACCCAAACCACAAGTGAAATGGATACACAATCATCAGGAGCTGACGGGTGGACGATACAACACGTTGCCCTCGGGTGATTTGGAGATCCAAGAAGTTGCTTTCAGCGATGAAGGTGACTACACTTGCTTTGCCACAAACAAATTTGGTAAGATCTCAGCGAACGGCACTTTGTTGGTTATGAAGAGAACGACTATTATACACGAACCACAGAATTACGAGGTGGCAGCGGGTAAGTCGGCAACTTTCCGTTGCAATGAAGAGCACGATGAAAAACTGGATCTGGAAATTGAGTGGTGGAAAGATGGACAAGCTATTGATTTCGAAGCGGAAGCACGTTTCGTTAAAACCAATGACAACTCTCTAACGATTCCAAAGACCGTAGAGCTTGATTCGGGCGAATATACTTGTGTCGCGCGTACAAGTTTGGACGAGGCCTCGGCTAAAGCCAATCTTATTGTACAGGACGTGCCGAATGCACCGCGTTTAGTTGGCATCGTTTGTATGGCGAATAGGATAAGAGTGACGTGGGAACCACAGGGAGATAATCGTTCACCAATTCTTTATTACACTATCGAATTCAATACCTCATTCACACCCGACTCTTGGGATGTCTCATACGATAAAGTACCGTCCACTGAAACTGCGTTCGTTGTCGATTTAACGCCTTGGTCTAACTATACTTTCCGTGTGAAGGCGTTCAACAAAATCGGTCCCTCACCGCCTTCCGAACACAGTGAGATATGTACAACACCGCCAGATGTGCCCTACAAGAACCCCGACAATGTACAAGGCATGGGTACGGAACCAAACAATTTAGTGATATCCTGGACACCAATGCCAGAGATCGATCACAATGCGCCAGATTTCCATTATCGTGTCTCTTGGAAACGTGATATTCCTGCAGCATCTTGGGAGAGTAAAGATATATACGATTGGCGGCAAAATAATTTAGTAATACCGGATCAACCAACTTATGTGCCGTATCTGATTAAAGTGGTTGCTATAAATAAGCATGGCGAGGCGAATGTTGCACCCACAGAGATCATTGGCTATTCAGGAGAAGACCGTAAGTAGTAAATTTAGCAAACTCAAAACGTTTGTAATATTAATTGCATTCTCTTTGAAAGGTCCCTTGGAAGCACCTACCAACTTTAGTATGGTCCAGGTTACCGCCGCCACCACAGCCATGTTACGCTGGAACCACGTTAGTCCTGAATCGGTGCGTGGCCGTTTCAAGGGTTATAAAATTCAAACATGGACTGAGAAAGAAGGTGAGGAGGCTCTCCGTGAAATACATGTGGATGCTATCTCCGATCAGGCACTCGTTACACAATTCAAACCCGATTCGAAGAACTTTGCACGCGTCCTCGCCTACAATGGTCGCTTTAATGGTCCACCTAGTATAGTCATTGATTTTGATACACCCGAAGGTGTACCATCACCTGTGCAATCACTAGATGCTTATCCACTCGGTTCATCTGCTTTCTGGCTCGTTTGGAAGAAACCACTACAACCGAATGGAAAACTAACTGGCTACAAAATCTACTATGAAGAGGTTAAGGGCAGCTATGTAAGTCAACGGCTCGAACTCAACCCGCAAATTAATAATCCCGATACTACGAGTGCGAAATTGGCAGGTTTATCGGCCAACACTAAATATAGAATCTCAATAACGGCGACTACGAAAATGGGCGAGGGATCAGAGTAAGTTTGAGGAGAAGTTTGCTGAAAAGTCATTGTACCAATTTATCGTAATTTTTTATTCTTTTACAGACATTTCATTGAGAAACGCACTTTACCGAAAGATTCACTGAAACCTGCTATACCGACATTTACTTTGGAACCATTACCGTCAGAGAATGGCAATGCTAGATATCGCATTAACTGGTTGCCTAATACCGAAGGACATGCTGGCACACACTTCTACACACAATACAGGTAAGCGAGTGCACCTCGGAGAGCTAGTTTAATCCGTTTTATAGTATTCGTACAATCTCTACTGATATCGACCGTGTTTTTCATATCATATTGTGTCCAAGAATTAACATAATTTCTCATAGGAAAAGGAGTGTTAAAGTGATCTAGAATAACTCCTAATCTGAGCGATAGTAAGGAGTATGTTGTTTTAGCCGCAAAAAGTAGTTTTTGGATAATATTGCCTCTTACGACAGGCATGCAGTGGAGTTGGAGTATAGAGTGCTGCAGTGTTCGGACAAATTCTTCGGGAAACACTTCTTCAACAGTCTGGCTGAGCTAACCTTAGCGAAAAATGGGAATCTCGTTACCTTTATAAGGCACACGAAATGGTTGGCTCATTCCAGAAGTGAAGATAGGAGCCTCACAGCGGCCCATTGTGATGCCTATTGGCCTAAGTGTGCTAGTAATGACCAGCATTAGCTTTAATATATAAAATTTTTATTAGGTTCCTAAATAATATAATAATCTATAATCTATAGAATATCTCTTCTTTGTAAATGGTCTTATCCAGAATTTTGATTTTATTTTAAAACCCTCTATTCTTTACATTAATTTTTTCTCAAAACTCAGAATCAAAGGTGAGCCCAATTTCGCAAAAGTAGCTGAAGAGTTCTCTAAGGATTATCAAGAGATTTTGGGTCTCAATCCCGATAATGTGTATGAATTCCGTGTTGTATCTGTCGATGGTGATAATGAAACGCCCAGTGAATTGCGTGAAATCGTCATAGATGGACCCACAAAAGTGCCCAATCAGAATGTGGCGAATGCCGGTTGGTTTATTGGCATGATGTTGGCGTTGGCCTTCATCATAATATTGTTCATTATCATATGTATAATAAGACGTAATCGTGGTGGCAAATATGATGTACATGATCGTGAATTGGCGAATGGTCGTCGTGACTATCCGGATGAAGGCGGGTTCCATGAATACTCACAGCCGTAAGTTTATAGAAATTGAACGTGAGATCATAATACAAGATTGTAATATTATGCTTATAAATTACAGATTGGATAACAAGAGCGCAGGTCGCCAGTCGGTTAGTTCGGCGAATAAGCCTGGTGTGGAGAGTGACACCGATTCGATGGCCGAATATGGTGATGGTGATACAGGTGAGTTTGAGTTTAGTAATATTTAATTGAATTTAAAATGTAACATTGAACGTGAAAGTGCACATGAAGTGATAGAAAACTATGAAGAATAAACATATGTACATATGTATGCACTTTGTTGTAGTCATGTATGTATGTATGAACATGAATAAATGTTAATTAAATTTTTGTGCTGTACATTCAAGCACACTTTTTATTTTTTAATTATTATTATTAAATAATCTTTGTTTTATTACTATTTTATTTGTATATATTTTTGTATTTTTTGTTTATTTTCTTCATTTGATATAAAATGCGTGTGATTTTGAAAATGAGCGCAGCAGCAGCTGTTGCATATAAAGGCAGAGGCATTGTCAATAATTTAGCCCCAGTACCCGAGCTGTAAGATGAAGCTGCCAACGTAGCAGCGAATATGTTAAAACATTAGCCAAGCAATTCAATTACTNACAAAGGCTAACAAGGAACCCAATAATGCATATGATGACAAAATTTTCAAAAATTTATCCGCGGTTAGTCGTAAGAGGACGCAACTAAAATCCAATAGTTCCCGCGACAGTCGGGTTTTTATGCCGGAACGCCCCGGATTTTTATCCGGCCTAGGACTGTCACTCCCGCAATATTCTCCAAAAAGTACTTTGGGGTATATTTTTGTGGTTACAACGACAACAACAATTAAAATACAAAATATATAAAGTATTTTTAAATTAATTTTGTATGCGCCTTATTTTGGAAATATTCCCATGAAAAAACGGCAGAGAGCCCATATCGGTGCAGTGTTTTTTATAAGATTAGTTTATCCTGTTTGCTTATGTGGATTTCATGAAACGTTTATTTTTAAAATTTTTCATATATTATTTTTAAAATTTCAAAATATTTTAGTCATGCTATTGAAACTCATTACATTATAATAATAATTGAAATTCATTAAATTATATTATAATATAATAATGGGATGCTTTCAAACCGCTTGCAATTTTTTGTCGAGCTCAACGCAGCGGCTAACAGACAAGCAGCTCATTTTCATTAACACATGCATTGGTAGAGAAATTGAAAAGAAAATCAAACAAATTGGAGCCAAATAAAGCATAAAACATTTATCAAAAATAAAGGGTATCATGGCGCTACGCAGCTACATACATAACATATTTATAATAAAAATTTGAAATGAAACTTTTACGACTATTTCTACCACATTACGTTAAAATTTTTTTCAATAAACAATTGTTTGCTGCTTTTAATGTGCGTTCTCATACATTAATTACATCAAAAAAAAAAAAAAAAAAAAAAAAAAAAAAAAAAAAAAACATCTCAAGTAAACGCAAGCGCATTATTATATGTTTTTGTATTGTTAAAAAAATTGTATTGGTTTTTAATTACTTATTGTTTTCCCTTTATGTACTCGTTTTGTTCACCGTTTTTGTATTTGCACATGCATTGTTTATGTTTTTAATTACATATTTCTGTACTCCATACATAGTTATATAGTTGATTATTTATTTATTTGTGCATTGCATATACATATATTGTATTTTGCTAATATCTTTTTCTGTTTATTATAATATACATTTATAAATTTTTTGTTGTTATATTTGTTTCTTTTATTTAAAATCACCAACCAATCAACAACAACACCAAATATCACAAAATAAACAGGTTTAAATGAAGATGGCTCTTTTATTGGCCAATATGGACGTAAAGGACTTTGATTTGAAGCAAAGAGTTACATTTTCTCGTATGATACACTTTGTGCTATTTGCGTGACAACCAACATATGTATGCACTTCGTTGTAGTCATGTATGTATGTATGAACATAAATATATGTTAATTACTGTTATTTGCTCTACATTTAAGCACACTTTTTATTTTTTAATTATTATTATTAAATAAGCTTTGTTTTATTACTATTTTATTTGTATATATTTTTGGATTTTTTTGTTTATTTTCTTCATTTGATATAAAATGCGTGTGATTTTGAAAATGAGCGCAGCAGCAGCTGTTGCATATAAAGGCAGAGGCATTGCCAATAATTTAGCCCCAGTACCCGAACTGTAAGATGAAGCTGCCAACCTAGCAGCGAATATGTTAAAACATTAGCCAAGCAATTCAATTACTACTTCACAAATCAAATGAAAAAATAGTAAATTTATTTCAAAGGTAAAGACGGCATATCATATTTTTGCCAGTTCAACGTTAACAAATGCATGTTTTCGATACGTTCTTTGTTGGAAAAAATCACGCTTTTAAAAGTTTTTCTATTAAACACGTGTTCATTATAAAATTCTTTAATTTATATTTTGAATTTCCATTTTTATTAAACCATTAATTTGTTTCAAATAGTTTTTAGGTATTTGTTGCTAACATTTTGGACTATTTAAAACATTTTTGGCTAACTAATTTACCATTAATATTTGCATATTTATGCTTTAATTAAAAAACGAAAATTGCAGTTTTAAATTTTAACAATAATTTTGAAGAAATTAAATTATTTTATTCATGAAAATATATCTGGGATTTTTATTTTCATTTAATTTTTTTGTCGCAAAAATTTTGGTTTGCATTAAAAATAAACTAAAAGGTAATAATTGAATAATATTTACTTTCTAAATAAAATAATAAAATTCACCAACAATCATAAAAATGCGTGCATTCTACATATTAATTAATCCTAGCCAAAAAAAATTTTGTAAAAAAGAAAACACGGTATTGATTCCTGTAAAGTCTGTCCATTATAATCCATATCTGAATTTAAATATTTTGTGTTTATGTTCAAAACTACAGTCAGAAAGTGGAAAGGAGTATTTTCGATCAATTTTGAATTTGCTTCAAACAAAAAAAATCCCTTTCAGCAAGTCACGCTTTGTTAGGCTTTCAGAAAGTAAATAAACAGTTTTTAGATACTTTAGAGCAACAATATTTATAATATTATAAAATCGAAATTAAAAAGTTAATTAGATTTGGCTAAAAAATCTAAACGAATCTTTTTCTTAAATTTTAATTTTCAAAAAATGTATACTCTAAATTTTAATTATTAGGTACAAAAAAAAACGTAGTTTGTCTATTGCTCTGCCCATGTATCTAAAAAGGATATACAGCTATGGTCACGCAAATAGCACAACTTTCCTTCCGATACATAATAATGAAACAAAGGGATATTTGTGCTTAACATATGAAAATATTGTAACGATGTGTTCACTTAGTTATTATTTAACACAACCTTTATAAAAAAAACTTAATAATAATTCAATGAAAGTTTAAAATAATTGAAAGTTTGAGGTTCCTAATGAAATTATGTGGTCACGCAAATAGCACATTTTGCAAAACTTGTAATTTTAAGTTCAAATATGCCAGATCATATACCATTATTAGTCTTAAGTAGGTCTTATCTATTAGTATTTTGTAGTATGTCCACGATATTTAATAACAGCTTCACATCTGCGTCCCAAGTTCTCAACAAGTTTCTCATATTTTCTTTTGGTATGGAGTACCACTATCCCTTGACGTCCTCCCACAAATCATCGAATTTTTTGCAGATATTTTTGTTTTAACATCGTTCCATAAATTTNCCGATGACTGTGCTATTTGCGTGACCACCACTAACTAATAGCACGATCAGATAAATCGACGAAAAAAATATGATTGATAGGATAACGGGAATGTACGAAACGCACTGTAAACTAGATAACATAAGTAACTATTATACATTTTTTTATTCAGAAAAATACCGTTATGTTCCTCAGAAGAGTTACATTTTCTCGTATGATACACTTTGTGCTATTTGCGTGACCATAGCTGTAAGTACTCGTATCGTTTAAGGTGCGTTTCAGAAACAAACTTCTTTTCGAATATTTTGATTTTGATAGTTTTTTGCAGCAAAATAGTTTTTTGGAATAATATTAATAAAGTTCAATGAAATAATTATTAAATTAATATATATATATTTTATTTTTTGGACAGAAACGTTTTTCTGATTAAAAATACTTTATAAACATTTTTCCTAAGTTTTTTTCGCGAAAGTTTATTACTCATTAATAACCATTAGATGCGTCAAATTGGCGTTTACAAAGCAAAACAACCTTTTTTCATCCAATCAATAAATTTCTTCAAAAGACAGACATCCAGGTTAGACAATCCGATAGTAATAGCAGTTAAAAATCCACTCATTTCATTGCTTACCAAAAAGGCTAGTATTATCCTATTTAAAATTTAGTGGAACCTCCCTATAAGCCTCAACAAACGAAAGATTTGGGGTCTGTTTTCCAACAATGTAGTCTCTGCTTTTCGTTTGAGACGATAGGAACTGTATTTCGAGCGTAGCGCTTATATTATAGAGCCTGCCTCCGAAATTGTGTTTAGAAAAGCAAAGAGGGATCTACCGCGAACCGCTCCGATTAAATTAAAAATTAGAAGCTAGTCTTTACAACAAATGGAAAGCGATGAAGTTTAGCATCAAAGCTTTAACTTTCTGTGTATCCCGATTGTTGTATATGTGCTCTTCTGCAAATCGTAGACGCGTTTGCTTGTGCCGTGACAAAGCATTAAGTGCTCATAGCGGTGCAAGGTAAATTCCTTGTAGTTTAAGATATTTTAGTCTATGTTCGTCCTTATTCGATATTTTGTCGTGTTTTTTCGTTTTTAATATTTTCTTTGGAGTAACCCTCTACTGCGTCTGATTTTGCGATTTTCACAATTTTGTCTGTGGTTAGTCGTCGTAGGGGGCGACTAAAATCCAATAGTTCCCGCGACAGTCGGGTTTTTATGCCGGAACGCCCCGGATTTTTATCCGGCCTAGGACTTTCACTCCCGCAATATTCTCCGAAAAGTACTTTGGGGTATATTTTTGTGGTTACAACGACAACAACAACTAAAATACAAAATATATAAAGTATTTTTAAATTAATTTTGTATGCGCCTTATTTTGGAAATATTCCCATGAAAAAACGGCAGAGAGCCCATATCGGTGCAGTGTTTTTTATAAGATTAGTTTATCCTGTTTGCTTATGTGGATTTCTTGAAACGTTTATTTTTAAAATTTTTCATATATTATTTTTAAAATTTCAAAATATTTTAGTCATGCTATTGAAACTCATTACATTATAATAATAATTGAAATTCATTAAATTATATTATAATATAATAATGGGATGCTTTCAAACCGCTTGCAATTTTTTGTCGAGCTCAACGCAGCGGCTAACAGACAAGCAGCTCATTTTCATTAACACATGCATTGGTAGAGAAATTGAAAAGAAAATCAAACAAATTGGAGCCAAATAAAGCATAAAACATTTATCAAAAATAAAGGGTATCATGGCGCTACGCAGCTACATACATAACATATTTATAATAAAAATTTGAAATGAAACTTTTACGACTATTTCTACCACATTACGTTAAAATTTTTTTCAATAAACAATTGTTTGCTGCTTTTAATGTGCGTTCTCATACATTAATTACATCAAAAAAAAAAAAAAAAAAAAAAAAAAAAAAAAAAAAAAACATCTCAAGTAAACGCAAGCGCATTATTATATGTTTTTGTATTGTTAAAAAAATTGTATTGGTTTTTAATTACTTATTGTTTTCCCTTTATGTACTCGTTTTGTTCACCGTTTTTGTATTTGCACATGCATTGTTTATGTTTTTAATTACATATTTCTGTACTCCATACATAGTTATATAGTTGATTATTTATTTATTTGTGCATTGCATATACATATATTGCATTTTGCTAATATCTTTTTCTGTTTATTATAATATACATTTATAAATTTTTTGTTGTTATATTTGTTTCTTTTATTTAAAATCACCAACCAATCAACAACAACACCAAATATCACAAAATAAACAGGTTTAAATGAAGATGGCTCTTTTATTGGCCAATATGGACGTAAAGGACTTTGATTTGAAGCAGTGTAAACAGTTTTAAACCATTTTTGTATTCGTAACCGTTAGAAATAAACACAATCATGACAGAAAGAGAGAGCGCAAGCGCATCAGCATTCACGGCAAACAACAATAACAAAATTATCAACAACCAACAAAATGTTTAGATTACTGCCAAACAATATTCAAATTTCGCACAATGATGAAAATGTTTTATAAGCCGAAACCAGTTAATATATATATTTTTTGTATCATACTTAAAAAAAAACCTGCTGAACAAAAACGAAAAAAATATATTTCATATTACCGCAATAATTTTGTATCTGTTAAAATCATCCATTCACACATAAGCATACATTCATAACCAGATAACAAACAAACAAAAAGCAAAAAAACAAAAACAGTGCAGCACCGAGAGTGAAAACTCTTTTGTATTTTTTTTTTTTTATTTAACTATACGTATACCTATGTATGTAGTTTAAAATGTGTTTTATAAGAAAAATGAATTGTAAAGTCTTATATTTGCTTTTATACTGTAAAACATTATAATTTATATATGTATTATTTTTTTATTTAATTTTTTTTGTTTTTTTTTTTGTATAATGCCTTGAGATAATGCGCATTACTGTATTCGTTCGTTTCGTGCATTGATTCAATTTAATATGTATTTGAATTTTACTTTTTGTGTTTAGTATTTAGTTGAAATGTGTTTGTGTACTACGTATTTTGATTTGATTTTTACCTTTCTCCCGCCCCACCCCCTCTTTTTTAATATAAATATACTATAAAGATAGTGTTTTTAATGGTTAATTTTTAGCAATAATGTTAAAGTTAAAGAAAAATGAAATGAAAAACAAACAAACAATCGAATCGTTTTGTAATAATAATGTAAATTAAACAACTACAACAACAATAAGAGTAGTAAATAATTGAAAGAAAAAAACATTTTTTTTTAAACTAAGCTATTCGTGTACCTATCATTTTCGTAATAAAACAAAGTAAAACTTAAATTGAATGAATTTAAATATGAGAAAATAAAAAACGAAAATGTATAACACATGAAAAAAGATAAATGTTTTTTAGTAGTCACTACACACAGGTGTATGTATGAACAATAATTGACGCTTTACAAACGGTGTAGTAATTTTCGATTGAACTGCTTTTCTTCTCCTTCATTTGTGTTATGCGTATTGATGGTTTTTGGAACAAATGGAGAAACCTACATTTTATGCGATATCACCTTCGAAGTGCCGATGAATTCTTACGAGGAGCTATTTATTTCATGTCACTAATTCACTCAGTGGTGACTCTCGCTGCCACGTGACGATCGCATTAATAACAGGAAAGAAAAGCAGTGCTGTCTGCGCTCACGCGGTGGTCTTTTATACTCGTACCTTTCATGAATGCATCAAATCTTTTGCGTTGCTTTTTAGGATTAAATATTAGTTCTCATATCTGACGAATCGATATAAGTCCCATTTCGATGATTTTCAGTGCTAAAATTGATTAGAATTTATGTGTATAGAACTCAAGTTCTATCCGGCCGACTCCGACAAATAATCAATACAGTATAATAATACATGTTTGGTTTAAATATCTCAAATACTGAGGGACTAGCTTGGCTGAATCAACTCAACTCGTTATTCTGAGGGGATCGTAACAAATTTTGATTGGTTTATTTCTTCTCCTTCTCGTACTTACATACTTCGGCCCAAAGTAATGGACCATTTCATGTGTTTTGGTCAGGATACGAACTTATGGGCCTCTGCATTGTAACACGCAATGGCAACCATTAATTCATTATTGCAGGTATTTTCGAAACAAGTCGTAGGAGATTTTGCATCGGAAAATGGAAACAAATTTTCATCCAAGTGGTATATTCAAAGTGGATGATCCTCGGTATTTCTTTCCTCAGTATGTCAATATGGCTCAACCGATCGCTGTCAAAGTTTTACGCTACTACTTAGATATGTTTTATAGGTATTGAACTAAGAAATGACATGTAAAAAGTTATTAATATTTTATTCTTTTTTATTTATTTATTTTTTTTTTTTTTTTTTGAAATAAATACACAATTTTTTTAAAATCATAATTTTTTTATTATAAGTTTTTAGTGAGCTAAAGGCCTGGCTTCTTTGTATAAATTGAATATTTTTGTTATGCAACAAAGAAAAATGGTAGACCTATTACCTATTACCAACAAAGAACATTAAAAAAAATAAAACAACAGGCTCCACACTAAAGTATATATTTCGGAGATTTTTTGAAAGACTTCAAAATTTTGTTTATTCCTTCGTTCGATACCTCCATGAGACTGACATTATAAAAAAATCTTCACCACTGTTATTTATTTGTGATCCAAACCGAAGCATCTTTTTAGAATTCGTTCAGAATATTTTCACAGAAACAATTTTTCACAAACAGAATCAAAACCTTAAAATTTTTGCTTGTGTTTATTATTTTATGGTTCTTAATCTTATTTAGTTTCTAGCGTCAAATTATATTTAATTTTTTCTTTGAGTATATTTTCGTTTTAGAAATATTAGCGAGTAAAAAAGGAGGTAAGCATATTTAATTTTCTAGTTTTTACATTTATTTAGTTAGTATCATTCAAGTAGTTTAGATAATTTGCATGGCATGAATTATTCAAATTGAAATATTAAAAAATTTTAATTAATGTTTTTTTATTATTATTATTGTTTTTTTTATTATATAACGTAAACAAATTTATTTTTTTTTGTTTGTTCATTAAATTTACTATAATATTTTATTAGTTTTAGAGCTAAGCATATACCATCACAAGAACATTAATAACACAAGGTGTCTGTCATAATGTCATTTGTCGCAATTTAAAAGAGTGCTAAAATAACCTTCATTATTCTCCAACATTTTTCATTTCACTATTTGCTGATGGCTAAAATCAAATCATAATTTAATACCTTATTCCAATTTCAATTTATGTACCAAACATAAGTATCGTGGGAATAAAATAAACCGGATGAGCTAACATTACTTAACCTCACTTTTCTCGTTATTGAACAAAATGCACTTAACCACAAAGAACTGAAAAAACACCACTCTCCGTACAATACAATTGAGTTAAAATATTTACTTATCCTCTTTAACAACGGCGCAAGACTTTAGAACTAAGCAAATACGGGTCTATTTATATTCATTGGTTTTTGGTTTAACGATACAGCAACAACACTTAAAAATCAACTTTATTCAAACCATTAACATTTACATATATTTAATAAAATAAATAAACAAGTAATTAAACCCCAATTTCTTTTCTTCTCATATTTATAGCCCAATTCACCGAGGATGGTTCCTTTATTGGTCAATATGTGCCGGGTAAACTCCAACCGCCCGTTAGTCCACAACCCATCAACAATACACCAGCATCACATCAGTCACCAACAGCGCCGCCAGCACCAACACAATCAGCCGGCGCTTCCTCGAATACAGCTGCAGTTGCCACTTATGTTTAGGTAGAACCGGAGCCGCAGCAGTACCAGCAAGAACAACTGAAACAACAACAACAAATATTGTAACAACAACAGTAAGAGTAAAAATGGTGACAAAGGAGAATCTGCAATACAAGCCAATTATTGGTACTGGGCTAAATTTGAATGGCTGCGTTATGATGCACTAAGGAAAGGCGACATTTGGTGTGGGGGAAATGTGACATAATTGTGTTAAGTATTGAAAAAAAAAAACTTAACAGCAATTAATTAATTTCACTAGAAATTTTTTTTAATTAGGCGTGGCAATGAACGTGAGACTTGATAATATTCTAAAAGTGAAAATTAGATCTTTGTTGGGTGGCGGAAAAATTGCTGTGTGGAAAATTCGATAAATGAAAGTTAAAAAACAAAATTGAATGTTTTTTAGTAAAACATACAAAAGAGAATGCAAATAATTTTTTGTAAATTAATGTAAATGCTTAGTGAACTTGCTAATTGGTAGAGATTGCATATTTAAGGAGTCGATTTTTCATTTTACTTTGCTTAAATGTTTGATGAAAGGAAAGCATTTATATGTAATGTTGCTAAGTATTGTAAAATATGGTATTGATTTATCCCTATAATGTGTTATAAAATACTTTTGTTTTCTTAAGTCCTTCAATGAAAACTTCCTATACTGCTCTCGATCCGAAAGACGTTCTTGTAGACGCAGATTACTTTCAGTACAGCAATTATTATAATGATTTTCGCTTTTAAGAAATTTTGGTTTTATTTTGATTTTATAAGAAAAATGTAATTAGTTTATAAAAAATCATTACTTGGTCAAAAAATTTTCATAACAAAAAACATTTAACAACAACTGTGAAGTTTAAAATATTTTCACAATCAGTTTTCTATGAAAAGTAGTCTTAAGAAAAACCAACATTTATTTCTGTTAATTAATTCATTATATAATTTCTTTACTTATGCAAACAACGATAAAAGAAACTTCAGATTATATTATGTAGTTCTGTTGGCTTCAAAAACTCGGTTTTTGGACTTCCTGAAATAAAAGAATATCTATTTAAAGGTCGGTCAAAATTTAGTAGTGCTTTGTATAACATTTTTATTACATCTTTATTTTTGGGATTTACTTTAAAATCTGAAGCTAAGAAAGCATTAAAATTATGGATAACATTTTTGCGTAAATTTCAAAAATAGTGGTGAGACCTATTTTCTGAAGAGATATTCACTATTGGACAACAAAATCTTATTGACCGTTACTAAGTGGTATCGAAAAATAGGAATTGCCCACTCGAGTAGTGCGGGTATCCACAATGTAAGAAAAGTACCGTTATTGACTAAAATGAATATAGAAAAGATATTTCGACACGCCAAAGAACATTTGTATTGATCTTCGACGCAATGACGCAATATTTGATGGTAGGACGATTCAAAGATGGTCATGTATGGCGGTAGGGGATGACGTCAATATGAAAATATGAAGGTGCGAGTATTGTGGTTTGAGCACTGTATTAAGGATAATGTGGCAGGTGTGTTATACGTTGAAGTCATTAAGAGCATCATGCATTCATATGTTGGAGTTTTTTGAAAATTCCACCAAGTCAACGGTTTCAAGCACTAAAGCAAAGTGGCTAAAAAGTAGTTTAATGGAATGCAAGATCATCGTCGCACGCAATTAAATATCAGTTTCAATATAGGCAATACGAGAGAAAATATGAAGAGAAAATGAAAAATACCATTTCATACAAATATTGGAAAAATTTCGAGGACAAATTGTATAAATTTGATGCTTTTGGCCGCTGAAATTCTTTGTAATTTTTTTAAAGCATTTTGTTTATTTTTTTTAATTATTTTTTATTTTATTTATTTTTTTTTAATATTCTTATAATTTTTTTTTTGTAATTTGGACATCTTAATATTTGTGCTATTTTTTTAAAAGTCTTTATTATAATTGTTTTTTTATTTTAATTAGTTTTAATTAATTAATTAATTAATTTCGTAAAATTTTTAGTTTTTTTTCAAAGCAACATTACATATTAATAGCTTTCGAAGCAGTGAGTGCGTATGAAAAACATATATAAATTAAAAAACACAATTAACCTATACCAAGCTAAATCAAATGTACCCTTTATTATTGAAAAAAAAAAACATATTGGTATTTTAAGCATTGATTAAGCGCAAGAGTTGTTTGTGTTTAATTTTGTTGTAGCTTAAATAGCAGCTTTAGTGTAAAATATAAAATGACCAATTTCATAAAAATATTTAAAATAAACTACCAGCAAAGTTTTTTCTTTTCAATTATATGTACTAAAATAGAGTAAGCCATTTTGAAGCCAAGTTCATAATGCATTTTATAGAAGTAAAAATTTAGTTGATTAAATATACAAAAGAAAAAAAGAGTTAAATTACTTTGGCGAGCCTTATGCGTTGAGCTTATACAAAAAAAAAGAAGAAAACCTTAAATCTTAAGACATATAATTTTATTTCAATTTTAATTTTTGCAAAAAGCCTTTAGCTGTTATATCTAAACAAATGTAAGTATGTAAGTGGGTGTGTAATATTACAAGCAAATTAAACGAATCTCAATGTATGTATGGTAAATTAAAAAAAAAAAATAAATAAATCAAAATAAAAATTATTGTATACTATAAAAAGCATAGTAAGCACACGATATATTAAATAAGATAATTTTTTAAACTATAAAACACAGATTTAAAATAAAACCATAAAACACACACACACACATTGCTGAAGCTTATTGTTGTGAATATCATTTGCGCTGCCAGTGTATGCAAACATTTAGAAACAAAAAAATCTTAAGAAAAAAACAACCAAATGAAAAATACTGCATATACATACATGCATGCATTGCATATGTAATTGTATGCTAAAATCATTTAGTATATGTATGTAAAACAAATTTTAATAGTGTAAATAAATTTTACACAACGAAATTCAATAAACATGTGTATACATATATATACATGAAAATGTGTATATGTATAAAATATCGAATTGCTGTACACAAATAACTCAATTTAGTTCAATAATAAATATATTAATATTTTTATTTGCTTAATTTGATTTTAAATTCTTAGATTTCATATCTGTATACAATAGTAAGCTTAAATATATATAAGAATTTGTACATGTAGCTATTTCAATGCAGAAAATTTATAAAATGAAAAATACTAAAAATTAACATAAAAACTAAACATAAAATTTTAACTACAGTTATGTAAGGTCAAACAACACACGCGCCTGTATTGCATAATTTGGTTATAACTTTTTGCAACTGTTTTTATTTAACAAAAAAAAGTTAATAAAAATAGCAATTTTTGTTGGATTTAAGGCATAATTTTTTATACAAAAATTTTTAAAATCAACTCAATTCTCTTAAGACAATTTTTAAAAACTCACAAAATGTCTCTTTGTAAGTTCAATGCATTTATTTTTACACCACTCAATCTCCTAAACATATATAGGTATGTAAATGATATTATTTACCATTAATAAGCATGAAATGAAAGAACCTAAATAATCAATCATTAATTGAAAATATAAATTATTATATAATATATTAATTGAAAAAAGGTTGATGCAATTTATACTTAATTAATAAAATATATTATTAATTTATATATAATTAATTTTCAGTTCGTAACACGTCCATAGTTTGTAATAATTAAACAATTGAATGCATTTTTTGTCTTAATAAATATATAGAATATTTTAGTTTTCTTTTTAAATAAAAAAAAAAATAAAAAAAATAAATTGCTAGATAAACGGTTAAATGCTGCTCGAATAGGAAACAAAAAAGAACAAAAAAACACAATAGACTTGTCATCAAACAAAAATTTTATAACATAATAAAACAAGCATTACCAATTAACAACTCAATTCTCATGCATATATGTATATGTACAAGCGTACATAGGTATATTTTTAAGTGAATGTATGCTAAATATTTAGCAAATAGAAAAAACTATTAACAGGCACTGTGCTGCCTTGAATTCCACTAATAAACACACAGCCGTTAGTGAAACTGTGAAATATTCAGTTTAATGAAAAAAAAAATTAAAATTACTTAGTTTTTTCCAATTCATACTAAATATCCACAGATAAATAAATTTTATATTTTTCTTTAAACTGCCGAATTTCTGTTTTATTTTACTACTTTTTCATATGTAAATGTCGTTATATACATTTTTATTTTATTTAATTTATTTATTTTTATGCCATTGAAAACCAATCCAGTGAATTTATTGTATTCCGTTCTAACCGTATTTTAAAAGCTAATTGATGAAATGTTAAATTATATAATTATACACATATTAATTTATATATAATTGATATATACATATATAGGTACTGCAATGAATAATGAAATATTTAATAATAAAACACTTAAAAATAATAAATAACCAAAAATTTGTTTTGTTTTATTTGAAAAAAAAAATTATCTTCTAAACGCATTTCTTTTATTTTGGGATAATTTAATAATTGGTTTAATTCATTTAACGTCGAAATGATTCAAATATGTTCGCTTGTATATATTTTTGTACTTCCAATCTGAGTTCATATAAAGAGTTCAAAGCGAATAAAACTTAATTCTGTCCGAGCTTTCGGTGTGGCAAAAAAACTAATAAAATTTTTACTAGTTGTCATACAATTGTAATGTCAATTATTGGCTTATTTTTACTTACATTTCTCGCCGAACAGAGCTAAAGTCAATTATTTGCATTCATTGTACTCGTATCAGTGATTTTGTTGAGTTCGAAAGAAGTGGAGTCGATGCATTTATTCTAGCCTTGAATTCGCCGTGATTTTCCACGCACATCCCACGCTAAAAGTAGTAACAAAATACATAGTAATTGTAGTGATTGTTCTCCCGCTACCACATTCGCCGTGAATTCGCCTTGGAAGAATTTCATCTGTAAATTTCTTACAATGAATATTTTTGCTGGCTTAACGGTATTTTAGACAAGCTTTACGACTTCAAATGTTTGATGCAAATCACAGATCAAAAGATCCCGTAGAGCGCTGAGGGCTTCGCTTACTAGAAGTATTAGAGAAGAAACTTGGTACTGTTGTATTTTTCGAAAAAGAAATCAATAACTACTTGATCAGTGCAACTCTTATATAACGAGAGCCCTCGTAAAATGTTTCTAACCACCGTTGAACCAAACCGTTTAAGGTCGTAATCCTTCTCTTACAAGACACTAAAACAAATTTGACAAAATTTAATAACATATTTTATTTGTTTGAGCTTAGCAGCTTTTATTGTTTAAATAAATTAATAAATTCAATTAAATTAAGTTAACAAATGAAAAAATAATATGAAGTGAATTTTAATATTTTAATTTTTTTCTAAAAAAATTATTTTAATCATAAACATTTTTTTAAGTTTCAGTAAATTTTTTCATTAAATTACAATAGTTCATAGCCATAAAGTTGTATAGAAATTATAAAGAACATTTAAAAATCTATTAGTTAAAGAAAAATAGCTTAACAGAAAAAAAATACATACACCTGCACCCTTGCACCCGCATAGCCCATCGAGAAGAGAGTACGTAAACAATTTATAAAATATCTAGTGAAATACAACTACCAATACATACAAATATATCATAAATTACAATAGCTAACTGTGAATGCAAATTACAAAATGTATTTATTCTTGCTATATACAAATTACTATATATAAATACTTTAAATAAATAAATATAATAAATATATTTATACTAAATATATTCCATCTTCAGCTTTTTTGTAAAAAAAAAACGAAAAACAAATAAAAAATTTAAATTACCAGCACTTCTTACAGGCTCATTTGCAAATATAAACTCTTAACCTTTTTATTGTTAACATTAGTTCAGGTTTTAATTGTCGTGCAGAGTTAACTTTCCTCGCTAAAACTCAACAACGGACCCTTACAGATATCATTAATCTGGTTTAAAAAAAAAAAACAATACACAACGATTACTGTGTATTTGAATTAAAAGTAATATTTCAAAAAAAAAAAATTTAATGATAATTTCTGTTGCTGCCGCATATAGCGACAAATTTTAGAAATTTGTTTGTTTTGTTTCAATGTGTTCAAAAGATTTCAGAATTTTTATGCAATTTTACATCAATATTTTCACTTAAATGCCAGCGAAGTACGTGAAATATAATACCAACATTAAATTAAATATAATTCACTAAATTTAATATAATATGGCATTAAATGCAATTAATTTAATATAAATTTGAAAATTTTTACTACAGAACTCAATTAAAAGCTAAAAAAAACGAATTCAAATAAAATAAAAAAAACAATACATATTTTCTATGAAATTGAATATATAAAGGAAAAATTTTAACTAATATTTTTAATTATAATGAGACAGAAATATTTCTTATTATATAAAAGCCTAATAAAATATTATAAAAATTTATAGTATTGTATTTTAAGAAATAATCATTGTAGTGAAAAACATGTATATTAAAATATGCTATGGGAACTATATAATCAAATTTATATACATATGAATTTGTGGAAAATTGAAAATGCAAAATTGTAGCCAATCAAATATTAAAAATTAAATTATATAAAAATATTTACAATGCAATCAATGTATACATCTAATCATAATAATGATATGAGAGATGACAAACGAATATTTAAGTTAAAAGAAATTTGTAATGGTTCATGAAAATGTATTAATATTTAAATAAAGCATAAACAATATATAGTTAAAATTATCCGATTTATGTAAAATATACGTAATTTTGTTCTATAACTCTTTGACATTTTGAAATTAAGGTCTTATGCCTTTCTCATAGAAGACCGTGTCCCTATAGGCAAAATATTGGGACAATCGATTTTCACAGGTGTCACTTGAGACCAATTCTTCAACAGCCATAGCATTCGGCATAGGTAGGAACTGATGATAATCAATGGGTGCGAGGTTCCAACTATTAGGTGACTGCATAAGGACATTCCAAACCAAGCTATCGGAGGTTCTGGTGAGTCACTATCGCTGTATATGGTCTGGCCTTGTCCTGATAAAACATTATTCTCCTCCTATTGGCCAAAACTGGGGGATTGTTTCCTTGGCACGGTACTGTTGCTGACATTACAGGTTCTATTGCTGAATTTGGTTTTTGGGGGAGCTGCATATAGTATAACATATAAATTTTTGTAATATTTATATTTCTACACTACTTTTTGGTATTTTGGAATTATTTTATACTATATGTTCTTTTTTTGTTTTATTTTTTTTCCCCCATTTTATTACTATAATTTCGTAACTCATTTTTTTGAAAAATTTTTTTAGTACGCATAAAGCAACTCTGCGAAAATGAACGAAAAGTAATTTTTTTTTTCGTTAAGTACCAATGACAGTCATGTGATGACTTATGACATTTTGTCAGAGTGGTGGTGATCGATAAAGCGAATACTGGAAAATATACAGAAAAAGTAATTTTCTATAGGAAAAACTCTGCCATTTGGGAGTATTTTTGCGTGCCACACACAGCAACCTCAGGTGTCATAAACTATATTCAAACTACTTGCTTGCAATTCGCATTTTAACTGCAATATCCACTTTTCCAAACTACATCGAAACAAAGGAATCAAAAATGAGTGAAGGTTGCTATTTCAATATTGATGGTGGCTACTTGGAAGGTTTGTGCCGCGGTTTTAAGTGTGGCATTCTTAAGCAATCCGACTACCTTAATCTGGTTCAGTGTGAAACTTTAGAAGGTAAGTTGCAAGAGAAAGATTACAAGTTGCTAGTCTGTATGCAAAATTCGTAATTAAAGTATTTGCCCAACATAGAACAGCAGTTGTAAGGGGGTGGTGTTGGTCATGTGACACACCATTAAATTATTTTATGTTGGTTTGTGTGTGCAATTAGAAATCGTATATTGAGTGTACAAGGGATTGGTGGGGTAACTGCTATGCTATGCTAAACTGTCAAACTCATGCGAGTTGTCTTGTGATTTACTATTATTTACAATAAAAAGTGTTTTTTTTAATTTTTTTTTTTTTGTAGATTTAAAATTGCACTTGCAAAGTACTGACTATGGCAGTTTCTTGGCCAATGAACCATCGCCACTCTCTGTGTCTGTCATTGATGACAAGTTACGCGAGAAACTTGTTATCGAATTCCAACATCTCCGCAATCATGCCGTTGAGCCACTGGCCAGCTTCTTGGATTTCATTACATACGGTTACATGATTGATAACATCATTTTGCTTATCACTGGCACTCTACATCAACGTCCAATTTCCGAATTGATTCCCAAGTGTCATCCATTGGGCAGTTTCGAACAGATGGAAGCGATTCATGTTGCTGCCACACCAGCTGAATTGTACAACGCTGTGTTAGTTGATACACCATTGGCACCATTCTTTGTTGATTGCATTTCCGAGCAGGATTTGGATGAAATGAACATTGAAATCATTCGTAATACTTTGTACAAAGCTTACTTGGAAGCTTTCTATGAATTCTGCAAGAAACTGGGTGGCTCCACTGCTGATGTTATGTGCGAAATTTTGGCTGTAAGTTGGACTTGTTAATTATAATATTTAACAGAAAAAATCTTTAATTTTTATTTTTTTTTTTTTTCAGTTCGAAGCTGATCGCCGCGCTATTATCATCACTATCAACTCGTTCGGCACTGAATTGTCCAAGGACGATCGTGCTAAATTGTATCCCTGTTGTGGCAACATGCACCCAGACGGTTTGGCTGCTTTGGCACGCGCCGATGATTACGAGCAGGTTAAGACAGTAGCCGAGTATTATGCAGAATATGCTGCTCTCTTCGATGGTTCCGGCACCAATCCTGGCGATAAAACCCTTGAGGATAAATTCTTCGAGCATGAAGTTAAGCTCAACGTCTACGCTTTCATGCAGCAATTCCATTTTGGTGTATTCTATGCGTACTTGAAGTTGAAGGAGCAAGAGTGCCGCAATATTGTGTGGATATCTGAGTGTGTGGCACAAAAGCATCGCGCGAAAATTGACAACTACATACCCATTTTCTAAATGTTGTTGAACATTCTTGTTGTTCTTTTGGGTTGTTGTTCTCTCGTGCGAGTTTTACATTGTGTTCGATTAAAATAAAAAAATATATGGATATTTCTTTTGTTTGAAAGAAAGAAAGTTTGCTAAAACAAGCCCGAGTAAATGAATTGTTAACAGTATCGTTTTTCCGTGTATATTGTAAATATTTTGCTTGTATTGTAATAAGCAAATTATGCATTAAAGGCAATATTTTCTTAAATTCTCCTTTCAGTATATATTTTTTTGCTAATATGTATTTAATTTCATGTGTATTCTATTATATAAATATATTTAGCCAAGTACATACATACATATATACATACAAGCATACATATATTAAAAAAATGTTCACTAAAGTAAATATTATGTGGAAATTTATTATATTGAATACCCCATTGTGAAAATATAAATATCATCAATAGATTGTTGTAAATTACTTAACCGTAAAACATTAATAAAATTGATTTCCAGACATTCCTTATACCTATAACTTCTCCTAACGGATTTTAATATTTGATGGAGCTGGGCTATTTATAGCTTAAAACTATCACTAAACGATTCATTAACTATCACAAGCTGAGAGATATTCTCTAATATGATTATTTGAGTAGTTCAGATTCTATGGTTTTGATACAAAAGTGTTTAAAACCCTGCAACTGTAGAAAATTAACAAATATGCAGTTTTAAAAATATCTCACGTAAAATAATTTGTATATGTTCTCAAAATAATATATAAAAAATCAAAGCTTCAGGGTTTTTTTATTTTGAAAATTGTACTGTTAATCCTCGCAAATTCCTCCTATACCGTAAATTGACAGTTTTATTTTCTTTACACCCATCTCACACCATTTTTATGTTGGGAAACGGCAACCCTGTGCTTTGCACTGACGAATCGCAACGCAAATTCGTTTTTTCGTTGGTTTTCTTCGTCGATGATCGAAGAGGTGGAAAGAAGTTTTACCATTAGTTTTACTCATCGTGCGTGGAGACTCATAAAAGAAAAGTTTTATACAATTTCACTAGTGAATATTGGAATAAAGACAAAATTAATATAGGAACAATTTTCTGAGGCTACAAAATACGTGCGCGTACTGAAATATTAAAACGCAAACTCATAAACCCTTTATTGCTAAGGTGTGGAAAAAGTTAAGTAAAGCAGCAGCAACAGAAGTACAGGAGAAGGCGAAGAAAATTCCAATTGGACTTGAAAGCATACAAAAAAGCAAGACAAGTCGTCGTCATATGCGAAAAGTGAACAAAAGTCGAAAGCAAAACGAAAAAAACTACAAGCAGTGAGAGTGGGAGAGACCAATAGAAAAAATTGACAGTTCGTTACGAATTTTGCAGAAAAAATAAAATACAACAATTACATTTTGTCCAGATTCAATTGTCTAACTTTTCATAGGGACAGAGCTGTTGTACAATCCTGAAAGGAAGTAATAGTGAAAAATCTTGGAAATAGAAAGTCATTAAAAAGGCAAGAAGCTTAACACCGTTTCTATAATTCGCCTACGCTGTTGTTGCTGTATTTGTTTTTGCGGCTTTTTACAAGCTTTCAACGTCTCTTACGTTCTTTAGTATTATTAACTTTGTCCTAAAATACCGCCCGGAAACACCAAAATACTCATACCGCATACATGCTACCCTCGCAACAAATTCGTCGATCACAGACTCACTACCAACATTGAAGTCGCACTTGTTATAGCGGTGACTTGTTCCTGTGAAAAAATATAACTTTTTAGTTTACAAAAGCCGACGAAACTCTTAAAAGAATTGTGGTGGTTGTGTTGATTTCTATACATTGCAAACAGTATTTTGTATTACTTCCAAGCTTTTTACGAACTTTTTGGTCAAACGGAGCAGGAGGGAATAGTAAATTCGCAGCTGCTGCTGTAAGGATTCACTTATTAACCACGATATGGCGCTAGATATGGGTTTGCCTGTAAATGGCACCAATGCGCTGACATCATCCTTTACGTCGAAGAAAAAGGATGCATCTACTGCAGCCGAGGAGAATTTATGGTAAGAAAATGTGAAATAAATAAACACCTAAATGGGTGGAGTAATTAATATTATATATGCATGCATAACACAGTTGACAGAAAAAGTGTAAGCAAATGCAATGCAATGAATCATACACGTTTTTGAATAAAAAGGCAATTTCGTAAGAGTAAATAATAAATATTGATGGACTTTGTTTGAGAATGATTTGAGAAAAAAAGGTAGTTTCACACATTGTATTCATTTAATACAAATTTATCAACTAAACTATATTATATAATATAATATTTTTTATGCGAAAAAATGCATGTAAATAAATGTATTTGAAAATTTTTTTTATGATACTATAAACAAAAATATGCCCACATTTAAATTCAAAGTGAAAACTAACTGGTGCTAATGTTCTTGCGTTGAATTTGTTAATGACAATATCCACTGACAGTTCCCCTGTTTACGCGTCGTATATATAGACTAATGTCATTCAGTTAAGCGAAAGTACATACATGCAACATTTGTACATATGTACCCTTGTACAAGCTACTCATAATAATTCAACGCCTATGGCTAAAAGCAGATTTGCTATTTTTAATTATTTGCTATACCTACAAAGCTATGAGTTAGATGTATGCGTCACCTGAGCCTGAAACTCATACCCTTTTAGCTTCGCAAATTACACCTTTCATAATAAATTCATTCGCTCATTCATTTCTTTTGCACTTTGATGCACTTCAGTTTAACGGTTGGATACCAAGTTCAACGAGTATCTACAAGAATTTTAACACCCCCAACAATATAAAACTCTACATCGAGCATCTGTTTAGCTGCTACAAATGAATATATCTGTGTATATGTATAGCACTTGTTATCCACACATATTTATATTACATATTTTTTATTTGAATAATAAAAAGAAAACAGTGCATCATCTGATGATTACTCTGCTCCTTCGCTCGCTTGCATCTGTACTGCATTAAAATAATATAATTTAGTTTAATTTTTTTCTGTCCGTTTTTGCTCTCTCGCATTGTTGCGCTTTGTATTCGTGTCATTTTTCACGGATTTCTACTTCTCCCACTCTTTTCAATCTAGACAAGCAACCAAGCAACTAAGCTAAGCAAATTCGCGCTGTTGTTGTTTGGTGTATGCTTAGCTCGCTGATTAGGAAAGCAAAAAATTGCAAATGCAAATATATTCATTGTACCTACGTCTCTACGTACAAATGTATGTATGTTTTTACTGACACATGTATTCACATATGTTTTTAGTTATATACATAGTGTATGTATATATTTTTTTTTTGGAATTTTTTTTTTTTTTACTCATTTGCTTTCTAAGTTAAAAAGCGCGTGAATTTTTGGCTGATTTGCTAACACCCAATGCCGCTTCGGACTTCGCTGCCAACATTTTTAATTGCCACTCTCTTGAGTAGTGACGGTTATATTTTGCTTGTTCTTGAGTAATTCGCAAAGTAAAAGCGCAGCAATAATTTTGCCATGAATTACTTATCTTCGCCGGTTTGTAGTTAGCCAAAATGCTCGCTTACCAATAGTACGAAGTTCTTCCAATTAAATGAATTTGTTATCAGTTTGCGTAATATTTGACATCTGCTTACGCGGACCGAAAGAAATATATAATATATATATGAACAGATTTGTCTCTATTTTTGCAGTTTTTTTTTTTAAGTTAACGGTTAAAATATAAAATTTCTGTTGTCATCGAGTTGTTAAATCGACGGCAATGACTTCTCGCGTCAATCGTCGAAATTTAAGTTAAAAAGGACTTTGGTCTGTGAGAGAGCAATATCTTACTTGCTTTCTATCTCTCGTATATTTTCTCAAATTTTGCAAAGAGAATACTCAAAACTCAAATTAAAATGTTCTATTCTTGAAATTATTCTTTGTGTTACTGAAATATACAGTGATTTTATGTATTATGAAAAACAAGAAAGAGCTGTCCTCGGCCATGCCGAAGTCTTTATAATTTTCCAAATTAACTTTATTATATTTAATTTCATTTTAGGATTTTCCCTGTCAATTTATTTATACCATCTTAAACTCAAATATGAAAAAACCAGTCGTATATATGCTAAAAAGGCCATTGTTGTTGTTGTTGCTTGCTGCAAAACGTTCCCCGACCCACGACAGTCAGATCTTTAGATCGGAACGATCCGGATTTTTATCCGTCCTCAGGCTAAATCAACACGCAATTCATAACCGGTCTCTTTTGTTCTAGTACTTACATACTTTGGACCATAGTCATAGACCATTTCATACATACATAAAAGGTATAAAAAACTTCTTCTTTGCTCAAGGGAAGTGAATATGAAAGCTAAAAAAAAATCTGCTAAAAAAATGCATGAAAAAATGTTTAAATATTTCTTCTAAGCCCACCAAATGCTCTGCTACCTCTTTTTCCTTTCAGTTGGGCTTTCAAGTGAACTTTTCGTTTTATATTCTCGAATGTAACCAAATTTTCGTCGATCGTGATGAATTGCTTCAGAAATATATCGCATTTTTCCTGTTTCAGGCGACTTAACGCTACCTCCTGAGAGTTTGTATGTAGATAGTCCTTCACAGAAGTATATCGGCTTTTTGAGTGACCGGTCGATCAGAACTAGATGGTTCTTTGACATCAAAATTTGCGAAACGAAATCGAGCAAAAATAAAAAATGCATACCTTAAATTATACCTTCGACACTAAAGCGCCTAAAAATATGCTTTTACATTAACTCATGCTCATATGAGGGAATTATGTCTCCAGCTTTACAATTCATTAGAGTTGGTTGAGAAACTTTATGCGAATTTGTGATAGCAAATTATCAAATGGACGCTTCACACATTTGCGAATTAATTTACATTTATTTTTCGTGTAAAGTGAGTGGAAAAACTGAGATAATTCTATCGTTTTCATACAAAATTGAATTGATATAAAATTATATAAAAAAGAAAATTTTTGTTTTGTATCAAAATTTTTCAAAAAATTATTTTTAAAACGCCTAAAAGTATAATTTGAACATTAAATCCCCTGATAGTATGCTTCAAAAAATTTATCTTATATCAATCTTATGAGCGCATTAACTCTAAAACTTAATTACTGACTCATTATTATTTCACTATTGAAATTCACAGCCTACAAAAAATGAAATGCCTTTGCGTCCAAAATCTAAGATAATTTTCCGATCGTCTCATCGGCAGTATGAAGAGTTGCATAAGCGAATTATTTCACAGGAGCTTGTTACATCGAAAACTGTAAAATTTACAAAATTCTCCTAGTACTGACAGTCGTAAGCTTCATCTTTCTTTGGATTGTTGCTCTGTTAGAAGGATCAGTTGGGGATATGGGGTCCGTTCTCAAAAGATGACTAGACATGCAAGTCAGGGCCGATCTTCGAAGCGATTGGCTATTTCATTAGAAATATTTCACAACTGTATCAGCAAAAAATTTAAAATTAAAAAAAAAAAATAAAAAGAAAAAAATCATTTATAATAGCAAAAAAAATTGTATGGAAGAAAGTCACTTTTTGGAATTTTCCAACTTTTCCTCAAACTAAAAGTTTTTTTTTATTTCTGAACCTTCCCAGATCCGCACGGAACAAGAACTCTGAAAATTTCATCAAGATTGGTCTAGCCGTTCTCAAGCCTTAGGGTCACTAGCAAACAAATATTCATTTTTATATATTAGGTCAAATAAAAAGCTCGTTTAGTTTTTATCTAAGAGATAGTACTAGTGCTACGTGTCGCACGAAAACGCGTTTATTCGTGCTAAAAGTTTGTCTTTGACAGTTTTTCGATTGATTGACTCAGTACGTTGTGCTCGCTCGTCAAAAATCGACACCGGCAAAGGGAAAATTCGCTATATTTTACAATTTTTTTCCGATCAAGGCGAAAAATCAGCCAATGCGGCTGAAAAAATTAATTTAGTTTATGGACCCGATACTCTAAACGAACGTGTAGCAAAAAGTGGTTTGCTAGGTTCAGTTCCATTAATTTCGATATCAAAGATGCACCAGGTTTTGCTGTGTGTTTGGTGGGATTGGCAAGGAATCATATACTACGAGTTGCTTCCATTTGGCAAATGTACCGCTTGAAGGCAGCACTCAACCAGAAGAAGCCATCTTTGATCAACAGAAGCCGAATTGTGTTCCATCAGGACAACGCCAGGCCACACACGTCTTTGGTGACGCGCCAGAAGCTCCAGGAGCTCGGATGGGAGGTCCTAATGCACCCACCTTATAGTCCGTTCCTGGCACCAAGCGATTACCATCTTTTCCTGTCCATGGCGAATGCGCTTAATGGTGAGAAGTTGGCCTCAAGAGAGGCCTGTGAAAATTGGCTCTACGAGCTTTTTGCCACTGGAGAGGCAGCCTTCTACGAGAGAGGTATAATAAAGTTGGCATCTCGTTGGCAATAAATTTATGAACAAAACGGCGCGCATTTGACTTAAATCGGACAAATGTACACAAAGTTATCATATTTTGAAAAATCAATAAAAAAAAAACCGAACGAACTTTTTACATTACCTAATATTAACATTCAAAGAAAAAACCCAATATCTATAAATATAATTTTTCCTAAATTTGAAGAAAAAAATATATATCTTGGAAAGCAAAAGAATTGATTAATTATTGTGAATAAAATTCACAAAATTATCGTTAGTTCATTCAACATAACTTCACCACAAAATATCGAATTTATTATCATTTTTAAGATGACATCACTGCTTAAAAACGGTACATATTTAGCGCATATAATTATTTCTGATTATCATCTATATATATTTTAATCTTAAATCATTTCTACGCTCTCTTTCGTATGTTGAGTGTTGTCTAACTGTTTTGGCTACTGAGTTACAAGCCTAACTTACGCATACCTTAGATTAATTAAAAAAAAGAAACGCAATTTTATTTATTTAACACTCTTTCCAGTGTTTGATATTGAATTTCATTAACAAAATCAAACATACTTTGACACACATATGTACACCATACATACAAACGCTTATTAGCTGCCAGCTGATGATTCATTGCCACCTTCAAAATCCATAAAAATTTCAGTTTAGTAGCTTTGATAGCTGACAGTGCAGTCATCAACTAGTATCTACGTTCCCATTCGCTTGGTGTGCGACGTCGAAAACCAAAACGAGATGCCCCACTAATATATACTGTATATACATACATCCATACATACCATGAGCCGAGCGACGCAATTGTTGTTTTGAAGCATCTACCAGAGCCGGCGCGCACTCATTTTTGGTTGGGTTGGCAAATTAAAATTCTGTTAACGTTTTCAATACACCGATGTGCTGGAAAAGAAGAAAAAAGAGCGAGACACAAAAAAAAAACACACACAAAAAAAGTACGAAAATGACAACGCAAATGGAATTGTATCTCCACAATGCGATTCGGCTTTGGTGGCGATGCTCAGTTATGTTAGGTACGACATTTTTGTATCCGAAATTTGTTTAAACCAAGCTTTAGCTTTTTTGTTGTCATAGTAAATGGTTTGGTGTTGTTTCTCTTTCTGTTTGTTAAATATTCGTTTTACTTTTATATTTATTTGTTTTTACTCAACTCGCTTTGAAACACACTTTGTGCTATTTGTTTTTGTTATTGTTCTCATATTTAGCATTGTACATAGGTAGGGGAAATAATAACTCATTTATGAATTACTCTTAGACCATTCGACCAAACTTGTAGACCAGTTGCTTAGCTGTTATTCAAAGCATAAACGAAAGAAAATAACTGTTGAAAAAGAGTAAAGTGGAAAATAGTAACTGAAATACACTTTTTATATGACAAAGTGGCCGATGTCGTCATCTCGTTAACGGTGAGAGCCACATTCATACCTTAGAAGGCTCTAAGCTAAAAGGGCTCTGCTTGCTTAGAGGAGGTGGTTGTAGTGACAATGATTTAGTGCATGTCAGCAAGCATGTATATACGTATATGATTGTATATTCGTATGCGAAAATCATTTTCCTACTCAATTATCCACAATTCATAACAACAATAACAATTATTCATAATTTTTATTATTGTAATTTTTCTTTCAAGATAAGACCAAAGTACGAGTTGAGTTGATCTAGCCACGTCTGTATGAGTCTGTATGTGACGCCTTAACAAATTTTTTAAGATAATATAATTAATTAATCTTTCTAATTGTGGTCACCCCTTGGCCGGGAATGTGAGGCCCTCCGAGTATTTCTATGACATGAAATAAAGGCTCCTCATAAAAAAACTATCAGCCGTTCGGAGGCGGCTTAATATAAATAGGTCCTTCTATTTGTTGGGAAACAATAAGATACACAGCACAAATTGGAGGAGAAACCCTAAAGAAGCCGATAATAACTTCAGCGGTTATATATACGTCTATTTCCGAGCTTACGACAATTATTTTTGGTAGAACTGTAATCCTTACTAAAAGTAGCATACCATCTGGCTTTGGTTGAGTTTTGTTGATTAATGCCTCTAATCTCGATCGATCTGAAGTCAAGCGAGGAGGGAAAATAAAAAGTCTGTTATATGGGACGAAGGCATAGTTGGCGCCCGCTTCCGCTCATATTCCATTTATGTTCTTACTACATAGACCATGGCAATTATAGGTATAAAATTTTATCGAATTCTATCGAGTGGTTTTTGAAATATACTCCATTTGGTCCTAAACTTGATTGAACCACGACCGACCGACTTTTTTTTTATTTATGCCGATCGTGCCGAACAAATATGCCTTTAATTGCGCATTAAGGGCTGAATTATCTCGAATTTGAAACTTTTCAAAATTACCGTGAACTTGTTCCGATTTCAACCATTTCGTTTAACCGATTCACCTCCTCATTCCATGAAGCTTGATATATGTATGTGCATCCATTGCATACTGCCATTCTGAAGGCCAGGGTCCGAGCTCTAGTTCGACCAATATCCAAAATTACCGAAAATTAATCTCTCTAATTGTGGTCACCCCTTGGCAGTGAATGTCAGACCCTTCGAGTGTATTTCTCACATGAAATAAAAGCTCCGAAAATCGGTTCAACGGTTACAAGGCTCCATTTATACATATGGAGCTGTACCCTGCAACGCTTCGCTGTCGCTTATACTCATTGAATGTATGAAAAATTAATCATGGGATATCTTTTCATCATAGCTTTATTTATTCAATACTTGTTTATATATACTATTGTATTTATGGGTTTACTATTCACATTGGTCCACTTTTACTGCTCATCTAAGCAAAAAGCCACCTATTCGCCGAATTTCTAGTAAATCGAACGATAAATACAATCTTTTCGAATAGTTCGATCCTTGGTCCACTTCTCGGAGAGAAGAGTAGTCTTCCTATTAACTTAAGCAAAAATCCACCTATGCACCGAGTTTTAAGTAAATCGAACCATAAATAAGATTTTTTTGTATAGGCCAATCCCTGTTCCATTTCCTGGAGAGAAGAGTTGTCTTCCTGTTCATCTATGCCTTGAATCGAACGATAAATACAATTTTTTCATGAGTCAGCACCTGTATCACTTCCCGGAGATAAGTTTCGATTTTTTTTTTTTGAATAGGTCAGTCTCCGGTCGACTTCTTCTATATCAGAATAATCTTCCTATTAATCTAAGCAAAAAGCCACCTATACATCGAATTTCAAGTAAATCGAACCATAAATAAGATTTTCTCGGCTAGGTCAGTCCCTGATGAAACCGAATGACTTGAAGTCAATAATTACTAGATTTTTGGATTTTTCCAAACGGACTTAAGACTTTTATATATAAGATGTGGTAAATGCAGAACCGCTCAACCGATTTTATGGAAACTCCACATGAACTATCTACTAAATAGTCTGAACTAAGCCCAAACATTTGGTTGGATACAACAAAAAGTGGCATTAATTTGTATATATAGAAATATACGTATGTATGTCTATATCTATTGTATATCTATATTTTTGCCCGCATAAAATATAAATTTGAAAATGTTTTAATTTTTCATCTCCAAAGCTTAAGATATTCTTTAGCTTCTTGGCTCCGACCCACTTTGCTACGTCTAGAATATTATAAAACTTCGACTGAAAGACACTGGGGAATCCGGTAGTCTGACTGGGGTCAACTAAATTTTCTTTAATTTCGCTTCTTTATTTTTTTTTTATTATATTTTTACTAAACGAGATTTTATTTCTGACACATTTTTTTATTGTTTATTGTTTTTTTTTTCACACATTTTCCTTTCCTCGATTACTTTACATTTCCTCAATATAAACATCATCTTCATCCTCATTAACATCATCCTCCGCCTCCTCGACATTCCTCTTTTGGAATTTTTTCTGTTGTAGCTTTTGTTTTTGTTTCTCAGCTTCAGCCTCCTCCTGTTCCTGTTTATCATAACTCGCTTGTATGCGTTCCAACAAATCGGTGGCAACAACAGCGAAACCCTCCCACACCACATCCGGTCGTGTGCTATGCTCAAACAAGCGTTCCTCATCCAAATAGTCAACCAATAAATCACAAACATCATCCAATACTTGCTCCTGACACACATCCGACACATTGCTGGCGTCTATTAGTAAATTCCATAAAGCTTGACATATTATGGTGGCCAAAAACCAATCTTCCTCCTGCAACGACGCACCCAACAGTGAATACAACAACTCAGCGCCCTTATGTTGCATGAATGGTGCACGATTTTCCGCATCGCCCAACAAATTGACAAGCACACCAATTGCACAGGCCTTGAAATCGTACGCCTGACTGGCATTGTTAACGGACAGCTGTTTAACGACCAATGCCAATCCGCCATTGCGGCAAAAGTAGCGACGTGCCTTGTCGTTGCGTGTCAAATTGCCCAATACGCGCGCCGTCTCCACTTGTGATGCATCGTCGCGACACGTCTTCAGCGCATAGTACAGCGCGGTGGCCAAATCGCCGAGCACACTTTGCAACGAACCCTTGGCGGCCAACACCTGTGCCGGTGTGCTGTTCTGCTCTTGATAGAAGCAGAGATTGTGCAGTGCGCCTAGCGTGGCATGCAACAGCTCCTGCAGATCGGTTTTCTGCAAAAACGCGAGGATGTGAAAAAAAAAAACAAAAGAGTGTTAACTCCAAAAATTTTCTTATTTTTATTACGCTTCATTTTGTCTTACCAGCTGTATGGCCTTCATGTGTGTGATGGCATTCAAGAGATTCAACATAATGATGCCCAGATTATGCATATTACCCAAACCGATGCCCACCTCGGTATTGACGCTCATATTTGCGACGACGCGTATCATTTTAACGAGCACATCGATCACCGTATCGCCCAGTGAGTTGTGCAGTGTCAGCGGTTCTTTGGAGTAGAGCTCGAGGACGCGTAGTAAATACTGCATAGCCACATCGTTGTGATAGAACTACAAAATTGAGGAAGGATATAACAAAAAATGGAAATTAATTTTTTTGTTAAGAGAGAGGTATTTGTAAGGAGAATTATTAATTCCACATAAGGAAGCGTTTGATGAAGCTCCTACACACAAACAATCGACAACATATGTATGTATGTTAGACAGAAAACTGAGATTTAAACAAAAATATATCTTTTTTTAAATAAATTTTAATTGCCAACTTGTTGCCTCAGCATTATAAATCAGCTACAGTCAACTGCGGCTGTGAGTTTCGAAGTTTTTGAGGTTAGGCTTGTATGGGAGACCTGCTACAACGCTAACTTTTCGTTATTTTTATACCTTCAAAAGAAGCTTAAAAAGACAAATTTAGAGCTAATTAATTTCATATTATTTTGTAAGAATTTTCGAAACGAAAACTATGCCGCCTGGGCCTGCCAAGGAAGCACTTGACTTGATTTTAACGAATTTTTTCCATATATAGTAAACTAGAAACTTTTAGCACTGTCACCCACTGGGCGAAAGCAGTCATCAATAGACAAACGAAACTTTTGTACATATAAAACTGATGCGTGTTTAAACGGGGCTACGAGTCTCGAAGGTTTTGTAGTTAGACTCAAGTGGAAAAATTAACTTTTTCTATCTAAATTTTTGTTTATCAATGTTGAGAAATGCAGAATCTTAATGAACTGATTTTATGTTTTCCCAAAAAAATTTTAGTTGAAGCCACATATAAGGCCCCTGGCTCGCAAAGAGGATATATCTACTTTTACTTGCCTCACACCGCACCCGATTACTTTTAACTAAGGAAAACATACGAGTACTAGTAGTACTCTTGCTCTTGTGGGCTTTAATTTACACCAAAATCTACGAGTCTTGTTATTGATAAATCAAAACTAGGCGTCATTCAACTGCGTGAGTGAATTTGAAAAATTTTGAGGTTAGGTTTGTATGGGAGACACGCTTCGTTATTGGTTGATAACATTAATTTTTCATATATTTTCTGTCATAAAAATTTTGAACCGAAAAATGAAAGTCAACTCCTTTTAAAAGTCTCTCATAAATAAAATTGAGACAAAACCTCTACCGCCTATGGTTCCTAAGGCCCTTATTTTGTGGTTTTCCTGTGTGACATACAAGTAGTCGATATGGATGGCTGTAGATATGAAATTACGCCGAATTCTACAAAATTTGTTGCTGTTAAGCCAACACATAAAGCTCTTAAGTGACAAAACTGACTCTACCCAGAAACTGAAAAAAATAATTTCGAATTTTTTTATATCTCTTCCAACTCACCTGCACACGTGCACTGTCGTATTTCGCCATAATATTGCCCAGTATATAGCCCAGTCTGCTGAATAGGGAAAGTAATTTTTCAGAGCCACTATCAAAGATCTCGCAACAAGGCCCCAAAAGCATGCCAATACGTGCTGTGTAGTTGACCAAAACGTGGCAACAATCGCTATCCTCGGAAAGCACACTGCAAAAGAGAAGAGAAATAAAAATATTAGTGATCACTTCTCAGCTCCTATTTTTTTTTATTTAAATTTATCTTCTCACACCACTCACCTCAGCGTGCGCACTATATTCGCTTGCACCTCCAACTCGCCCGTGGCCACCTCTGCTGCACGCACTAAATGCGGGCACGCCAACTCCAATTGTATGCTCTGCTGCTGCATACCGCATGCCTCCTGTGCTATCAGCAAATCATGTTGTTCTTCCGTTGCATTTAAATCCTTCTCAAACGAATTCCTGGTCTGTCGTACATCGGAGAGTGCACGCAATGCAGCGGACAATTGATAGAGCGAATGTAATGGTGGTCCAGTTAGTTTTTGTGTCGCGCCAGCTTCATTTAATATTTGTAAATGCAAAACCATTAATTCTACAGCCCCGTGACGTGCCAAACGTTCGACAAGCGTATTTTGCTTGCTCAATTTCTGGTAGCGTTCATTTTGTAATTGTACCAGCGCTTGCTTTGTATCGGTGCCCGGTGCTGGCGCAGTGGCCGGTTTGCGTGGTAATTCCAGACACTCGGTCCAGTTGCGATTTTTATCTTTGCTCGGCATCAACACTTCTGCACCTCTCTCCTGACCGCTGCTGCTGCTGGTGAGAAATCGTATAGAGCCGTAGCCGTAAATGCACGCCTCGGGATCGTCTAATGGGCTGGCGCGTCCCAAGCCATCGATTAGCAGATCGAGTAGATCGTTGTCGTGAAAAAGTTGATCGTTTTGCTCGTTGCGTGCTACCTTGAAGATGAGTTTACAGGCGCCGGTCAAATTGCTGCCTGTGACGCGCAGCTATAAAGATGAAACGCAAGAAAGTGCAAAAGAGGCTGACAAAGAAGTTAGATAATTATTTGCTTACCGCTAAGACCACACGTGCGACGCCTAATAAAATTTTAGGCGAAGAACACTCCACCAAGCCGTAGAGACCGCCAAGAATGAAGCCGCGTTTGTAGTGTTTCTCGTTTTTGCGCACGCGCATGTAGAGCTCGGCAAGAATCTGGGAAAAGGGAGTAAATAAAAAATGGGGTAAATTGCAGAGTGATTGCAATATCTTGGAAAATATTCATATTTCATCAAGCAATGAGCGATAGAAGAAAACAAACGTGTCTTACGAGGTGAGAACTCATTATCTGTTAAGAGATTTTCGAAAACCTGATGAGTCGATCGAGGAGCAGATAACTTTCTCATAGCATCTAATCTTTAGAAGGTTTAGAAAGTTTGCCAAGCCAAATATAGGACCTGAAATCAGGCTAAGCTTGTCCTGAAGACTTTTATTGTAGCTGGTGATGAGTGATCTTCCAGAACCGAAAGCCTATTTTGTCATCATAGAAGAAACGGACGGACTTATTGCCGCCGAGTGCGACCGAAAACTTCAGTAAAGTGTCCGAATGTGGTTAGCATTTGTGTACTGGCATTCGGAAGGCTCGGGATCATATCCTGGTGCCACCAACATACAAAAATTATGGAAAATTAATTTAAATAAAAAATTAAGCTAAATTTTCTAATTGTGGTCGCCCCTCGGCAGGGAATGTCAACCCCTCCGAGTGTATTTCGGACATGAAATAAAGGCTACTCATAAGAAAACCATCAGCCGTTCGGAGGCGGCTTAGTACAAGCTCTAGGTCCCTCCATTTGTTGGAAAAAACATCAATACGCGAAACCACAAATTCGAGGAGGAGCTCGGCCGAAAAATCGCTTCAGTGGTTACAAAGCGCCAATTATTTGTATAGACATACCGAATTAATATGATTTGCTGTCTCCTCATTGCACTCCTTCAAGCCTGCATGCTCTTTCAACAGACCTATCAGCTTCTCGGTAGGAGATTGTGCCAAGAGATGAGAATTACGTTGTTGAAATTTACGTGAACTCAAAATATTGATCGCCGTATTAGAGCCACTCATATCCAAAGAGCTATTCTCACCACTACCATGAGCATTTTTAAAGCGTTCCCTCTTCGTGACAGCGTCAGTGCGTTGCTTAGCTGAGAGTAATATGTAAAAAAAGAGAGAAAATTAAATGAGTACCAAGTGCAAGTGCGCTAAGTGTATAGCACAACTCACCCTCTAATGAGACACCTCTTATTTCCAAAGCAGGCAACTTTCTTGGAATTTGATTCGCATGACCATTCGTTGCGCCCAGACCAGTTACACCCACGCCAGCAAGACCAACACCACCACCAGCAACACCTAAATTTACCTCATCATAATCACAACGCGCGTCCCACGAATTTGAGCGTCTTGAAGTGCGTTGTTTGGCTGCTTGTTTTTCATCAAAGTCATTTCCATTTGGTTCATTGACTTCCTGCTGGTGTACCGGTATCGGCTCTAGTGAGGGGGTCATAGGCGTATGTCGTTGATTTTCGTTTTGTAAATAACGTAAGCTAAAACAATAGTCGTTGGTATGGGAAGAAGAGTTGGTTTGGAGGACATATTTAAGAATTGAGAAATAACTTTCGAAGAAAAGTGTTTGGGTGGTATGTTCCAAACGCCAAAAATAGCTGATTATGAAAATACTTACGAAAATGCGCTGGGCGGTCTTCCGGCTAAGGCGACCTTGCCATAGAGCGCGCGTCCAGTTTCACGTGGCGTGATGGGGCGACGCGTGCTGACCACTCGCACGCCACCAACTAATAATGGAGAAATATACAAATATATATATATATATATCATTTAGAGATAAGCAGTGAAGGACGCAATTCGTATAAATAAGTGCTTTTTTTTAATTTTTCAAACGGATATTTCAAATTCATCACACACTCACGCTCTCACTTACTTCCTAAACGATTACTATTGGAGTTACCAACGCCACTGCCACCACCACCACCATCACTGCTGCCGCTTTGGCTGGCGGATTTGGTGGAAATCTCTGCCAACATTGATTTCGCCTCGCTAATCATTTCTGCCGACGTTTTACGTCTATCTAAGCTATTTGTTGTTGTTGCTGTTGTTGTATCGCCAAATGCAAAACTTTGTATAATTTGTTTTTGTAGTTCTTGGTTCTTTTGCTGTCTCTGTTGCATATATCTATTATCCTCCAGCCTACTATGGACGGACTGTTCCACTTTGCGACTTTCACTTTGTGAGCGTCGTTTCTTGAGCAATATCATTATAATATATTAAAAACTATAATTTCGAATATTTGGTACCGTTAATCATTTGTTTAATTTACATATTTAAGCGCGCCTATAGTGAATTTCATGTTTTTCACTTCACCTCGTAGGAGCCTTTTCGAAGCACCGTTTTGCGCATTTACCAATCGAATCAAATGTGAATATGAAAAAAAAAAAAACGTATATGAATATTTTGTATGAATGGCAGAATATCCTGTCCGTGTTACGGCTAAATTGAAAATAACTACTGCAACATTGTGCTAATAATATGGATGTGGTGTAGTGAAAAATATTTTTCGTTTGGGCTTTCGTGCACCATGCCAACGCGGACGGGTGTTGCATGTACTCATATCTATGTGGTAACAAATGCTTGTACATATACGACTGGAGGTACGTGTGTAGGTACTTGTGTGTATTTGTGTTGTGCTCCTTTTTCCCGGCTTCAATGCGTGCAATAGAAAGAGCGTAATGTGAGCATAAATTAATACATCTACATACGTGTGTATAGTGGTATATTTAAGCTAGGAAAATTTACAGTGCCGAGGAATATATGTGAATTATTCGGCTTAAAAAGGAAGAAGTGACCGTTTATAACTTTTGGAGCGATTTTCTTCTGACCTCTTCTACCAATTTGTGGTGTGTCTTGAGCTTTTTTCTGCTCAGATAAATACCTCTAATTCGGAGGCAACTTAGGGTTTGAGGTAAAGAAATTCCCTGACTAAAGAGGACCGTAGTAAGAGGTTAAATAGTTTTTTTTTCGAGAAAAAAGCTATATTTAAAAAAAAAAATATTGTACATAAAAACTAAAAGATTTTATTCAAGCTTTTTAAAAATTTCAAAAAAAGATTCATATCTCGACAATCGCGTCCTTCTTTTCGGTGAACTGTAGAAACCGTGAATTCGCGTCGACTTGTCACGATTGTGATTGGAAAAAATACGATAACACTTCTTCCGATTTCTCGTAAATTTAACCTTGAATACCTGTGTAAAATTTCAATTAGATCGGTTGAGTAGTTTTCGTGAACTTTTGGCAAAACTTTCGAAGTGGTTTCGAGAAAAAGTTTAAAGTGCACACCTGCTCAGGGCTGTATCACCGAAACTTTGATACGGTTCAATTTGAAACTTTCGATTAATATCCTCGAGAATATTGTAGAAATTATTAAAAAATTGCTTGAAACTGTGAAGCACCTGTCACTTCCAATAAATAGTTAGGATATTTTTGGCATTTGGTAGGTCCCTTATAAGCATTCCTGGACTCCATTTCCTTTATTAAAGCTATTCTATTTAAGGAAATGTCCTAATGCAACCTCTCATCCTGTTCGTCCCATCAAATGCGTGTTTTAAGGGACACACCTAGTGTAATGTCCTTAAAAAGGGTGATTTTTGGGAATTTTTATTAAAAAAATACTTTATCAATTTTTTCAAAATTTTAAGAATATATTTATACATGTTTCAAGAATATTCAGTGAAATTTTTAAAGAAAAAAATTAAATATTTTTTAAGTTATAGTCGATCTCCAACGGCGCAAAAAAAGGTCCTTCATTGCTACAGTGATTCCGGCCATCTTCGTGGATGAAATCTAAAAAAAAATTCTCGTTATACTAGATAATATTGTCTGTACAATGACCTACGATGAAAAAAAAATCAAAAATTGACAATATGGCGGCGTTTTAAAAAAATAGTCGAATTTTATCCAAAATTTTGGTCGTTTTTGGCCTGCCAAAATTCGATTATTTGATCAGATAAAAAATCGAAGGGTCATTTTGCGGAAAACTATATATAGAACATGTAAAAAAAAGTTCGATAGTGATCGGATCATTTCTTTTTGAGTAATCACTGCAGCAAATTCGGAAAATGCTGTTTCGAGTAAAACGCGTTTAATGATCGTTTTTACTCGTAGCTAATGAGACTAGCTGCCGAGCGGCTGCTCGTTGAATTGCTATAACTCAAAAACTATTTAAGATATCGATTTGAAATTTTTATATATTATTTTTAAAGGTGTAATCTACCGAAATATGGAAAAAAAGATCGATTTTTCTGAAATTTCACACTAGGTGTGCCCCTTAATGACAAATTGCGCTCCGAGGCTTTACATGACATTCTGAGTTCATTTATAAATTATTTATAGTTTTTTGAGTTATTTTTTCCTAGAAAGTTCTTTATAACTTTTACTAAAAATTACATAGTTTTTCCTTGTCAATAAATTTTCCTTCAAAGGTGTTATTACCTCTCAGTTTCTGTAGTTATGGACCTACAAATATTGCCTCTTTAAGTTGACGGTTCGTGGTGACTTAACACAAATTTTTCACTTGATCTATTTGGAGGTTTTGGCACAGCCGACCAGCATCTTTTGGCAAGAGAATAGTGTGCTTGAACTTAGTTGTTGTAATAGCTTTTGTTTGGGTTAAACAAAAATTATCCTTTTCCTATACCATTGGTATAGCAAATGGTAGGTGTCTTCGTTATTAAGTAGTCCGACTTAATATATTAATAATGATTTTCCAAGGCGGTGTTTTTTTACAACCTTATCATTAGCGTTTGTTGCCTGATCTTCACGTCTAGAGTAGTAAATAAAGATTGTTTTTCAAAGCAAAGCGCTACGTCTCTGGTCTTTCCAATTAGTCCATATGCTGATATCCCTATGATTCACTTTACTTCTATGAGTTAGACGATCCCACAGACAACTTAACCCTAAGAGCGGTTAGATGACCATCAATATATGAACAGCAAAAAATGTTTATGGAAAATTCCTTTCTCTTGAAGTTTGCAATTTGAGATGGGTTTTTAATTCAATTCTTAAGAAATCAGCTACAAATCGGAAATAATGTTTAAAAAATTACATTTTTTTCTTTTTAAGTTTGAAGACGCATATTTTTCAATCAACAGTGTATTTCTTCTACACTCTTTTAAGCTAAAAAAAATTCCAAGTGGTGTTAAGAACACAGAACACAGTAGTGTTACGAGTATTATTGAAAATAATTGTTGTTGCTACATTTTCACAACTTGTACATTTAATTTTAATGTGTAACATGTAGTCACACGAGGGCTACACGATAGGTCTATGTTCGGTCATCTTAAAACAATTAATGTGCTTATACTAAATTTATTTAATGTTTATTTATTTATTGAGTAAAAATAAAGTGTTGGGTTTTGGTTTCGTTCGTCGAATGGTTACGTATCTTTGATCCATTCATTTCTGTGGAGAAGAGATTGTCAGAGTTGGATATGGAATGTGTAGTTCAGCTTCTCGTGAATATGTGCGAAAGTCAATACTCGGGCGCTCTATGCTGCGATTTCTCCATGGCTGAATTGAGAGGGTTGCCTGACGGATCAAAGCTAGTTTTCCGAGCTTTTAAGAAGACGACGAAAGAGCTCTCACAATGAGGGCAGCTGTAGGCCGCTGAGCTTGTCTACTTTACTCCTGAATATGGTTTTTCAAGCGTTGACCAGTAGAAGGTAAAATAATACCACTAGAAGGTAGTATAATAGTATGGATGGGTCTAACTACGGCGCTGTATAAATCCAGTTAACATAAGCGGTTTGAGACCTCAGCTCTGTTCAATGGCCGTTTTACAAGCGTCAAAATCAATAATATCTTCTCGCCGTGTTCCGTTTTCCGAGATATCTGACTTCGTTAAAGAGAGCCTTTTAGTAGGCAAAGCTTAAAGGGATTCGCTGTTGGAGCAATATCGTCAGCGTATGCTATCACACCATGATCCATGCTGTGTTCTTTTAGAGTTGCCTCAGCCAAGATCTTCCTGCTCGTCAGCAGAGATTCCACGAACCTTGCGATGGTATGTCTGTGTTTTTGAAGAGGTTTTGCTATGGCATCGGGAAGGACGCTGTTAAAGCCTCTTCAATATTACAAAAAACTGCAAACGTGTACTCCTTTACCGCAAGGGCTTTCTCACCCAACTAAATAGTGAAGTACGTTATCGACAGATTTGGCTTTAGAGTTTCTAGTTTGGAATAGCAGAGTTCTTTAAACGGACTTTCAAAGCTCATTTCCTTCCGAGTTTCCCTAAATGTCACAACAGAAGGATTTTCAAGACTTCGTGTGTCCCTGACAGCTGTATTAAATGCTTTTAGGCGGTTCCAGCAGCATACTATTTTGGTTTCGTGAAAAAGTTGTCTACTATTTTTACTTAATTAAAGAGAATACAACAAACCACCATTTGCAGTTTTACTTCCCACAGCGTATGCATAGAGCACATGGCGCATAGAAGGCAGTGATACAGGTTTTGGAGACAACAACATCATATACCGCCTGATCACTTTTCGACGATTAGTCAGGCTTACCTAAATAAATAGATTTCGTGCTAGATGAAGTCGCTTCAACAGGTATTATCGAGAAGTGGGACTTTTCTCGAAAAGCGTCTTCGACTACGGACACACTTTAGATAGTTCTTCATCATGTCACGCCTTTCGGTCATTTCTAGCAGTTTTTCACACAATGCACCATTCAAAGACATTAACGTTTCGCATTAACAGTTTCGCTGATTTTAAGCAGCATTTTCTCATCTTGAAAATTTTCGAAGAGGCGAAAACCATTTTATAGTCGGAATCCTACGCTAAAACATGAATAGTAATTTTTGCTGACAAATGTGAAATCTTTACAAAGAAATAGGTAATCGCTTCGAACATCCAAGGTCACAACTTGTAGGTGGAGCCAACTTTTGTGAACAGACCACCGACGTAATTTGTAACCGCAAGACATAAAAAAAATATATGCAAGGAATTGTAAACCTCATTTTCGTCCGTTAAAAGGTCTGTACTTTCATTGTTATACAACAGCGGGCAGACAACTGAGTCTCTTTTATGGGAAAAATTAAATAGCGCTGGGTTTCTCTCTCGCATGGCGTTCTCATAAGATGGCTTGTATCAGCTGGATTTTTATGTTTTCATGTTGGTTGAGATATAAACGAGATTTGACTCGAGAAATAAACCAATCAAACTGGATTTACACTCTCCACTAACGCATTTGCACGTACCACGTGGAACCGCCCTTGTAGCGTACGAGCCACTGCCCGAACTAACGAAAGGCACTTACAACCAAAACAAACGAATGCACACAAGTGGAACGTCTATTCGTGTTACTACTAAAGTTACAAGGAAACACCTTCAAAAAATCAATAGACACGACGAATTCAATTCAAATGGATAAAAAATAAATAATTGTTGGCATAAAAATGAGAAATCTAAAGCAAATATACATACATATAGTATATTGTACATATATATGTATATACTAAAAGTGTAACAATATAAATCATATTGAATTGCCAGTGTCGCAGTGGGTGGACAGGAACACGGACATGTACGTACCATACATGGGTGCAAATGAATGAGTTGAGTACTAACGACGGCAAATAGTGATGCACCCACAACTACGTGTAAGCAACTCACTTGAATACCCATATTAGTGGTTGCGCTTAGAAAAGGATAGCTGCGCGTCGTTATAGTTAGACAATAAATAAATTGTGGTTCGTGTCTTTTGTTTGGTGGACATTTGCATGTCAAAAGGTTTAATGGCAGAAGCTTTGTTCTAAAGTGCGCTTAAGGAGAAGAAGAGAAGAAGAAAAATATCTAAAAGAAATTGTGAAATTAAGAAATTAAATAAAATAAACGATTGGCAATTTTCCATGATATTAATTGAATTGAACGCCAGTTATTAAATTAAAAGCATAGCAACTGTTAAGACATTTGTCGCCTGAGTTTCTGCTTCTTCGCCCACTACTTCTTCTACAGCTTTTTTATAAAATATGCGACACAAAGAACGCTCGCTATTCGAAGAGTTTTGCATTGGCGACACGGTGACCAGTGACAAGTAAGTTATGGAGACAGAGAGCGAGAAAGAGGTCTATGTCCTGCATGCGCCTCCGCACACAACACTACATACCACGGCACTCACAATATATCATTTGATATTTACTAATTTCCTACAACTTTTAATGCCGTTTAGTCTAATTGGGCTTTTATTTATTTGTGGCTTAAAAAAAAAAAAACAAACACAAAAAAAAAATTTAAAAAAAATTAAAAAAAATTTAAAAAAAAATTGTGTTTTGCAAAATGTTGAAAAATTTATTTTGTAATTGCCGCGCAACTGTGTCTCGCAGCCATATTTTTTTATTTCAATTCCACCATTTATGAGTGCATTTTCGAGGTTCAATCATGCAACTTCCAAATTAGTTGCTTACTTTGACCAATTGGTTGCATACGTAAAAATCGTTGACCATTGTTGTTGACCATATTCGCGTTGACATAATACATATACTCGTACAAATGTATAGCTGTATGTCATACTAGAACGTTTTTGAAATCCATATGCATTTGCTGTCTGCATAAAATAATGTGCGATTTAATAGCAGCAAAGTCGGCGCATATCAACTGCTGTCACATTTGGTGGGTGGTTGGACCGGACCGTTCATATGTCGATATTTTTTTTTTAGGTCAAACACAACAGCACAATTGTTGTAGATTGGAAAATCTAACTGTATATCATCATCATATGTGAAATACACGGGTCACCACCACCCAATCCACACGAAGTGCCCGGAATAGCTGAATTATCATTCAAATTAAATTCGAATTTCAAATTTATTTATAAACCAATTTTTTCATAATTATCTCTTTTATGTTTCAATCAAATGGTATATTAACTTTGGTACGATAAAAGTGACTACCAGAGGGAGAAGATATAGATACACACATTTTATACCAACAAACACGGTCAGAATGACTGTCCGTCTGTCTGTCTGTTTGTAGGCAAACTAATCCCTGTTTTTTTGAAATATTTGAACTGAACTTGATACACAGATGTACGGCGGTCAGACCAGGTCGGACTACTATGCCGTAGCATACTCGAGCGATTTTTCAGACATGCGATTTTGGGTCATAAATTTGTCAACAAGGAATTTTAATATTACTCCACACATATGATAAGTTACATATTGGTGCTGAAATTCATGGAAATCATATAGCCATAGCCCTCGTACATTCTATTTGTTCAGATATGAGGTTTTTGGTCATAAATTTGTGAAAGAAAAAAACATCTAAGAGCGTGAAAATTTGTATTCTACATACATATAAGTTCTGTTCGTTGATCNAAGATGGGAGAAAATTGTCGCTAGCGAAGGACAATACTTTGAATAATATATCTGTAAGCACTTTTTCGCAATAAAGCTTTTAATTTTGAAAATAAAAAAAAACGGCGGAAGCAAAGTTGTACACCTAAAATAATTTACTGGAAAACAGTGGTGACCTAATGACCCACAAAACATGGCGAAGCAAGGTTGTTGCAACCATCACAGTGTCTATAATGCATACTTAAGCTTCCGGAAGTGACGACGATGCACAAAATGAATTATTAGTGGCGTTTTAGTGGCTCTTTCTTGGTTTTTAGTGGAACAGGATCGAAAAAAAAACTTTATAATAATGTTAAAAGAATACGGACGGCTTATACGTAAAAATAATTTCAAACTCATTTTCGTATTTAAGACATCTCTCCTGAAAGTTTGAACGACAAATTGTTGCAAAGCAAGTTTTACATAAATTTTCGACCTTTTAGAAAAACATTTTCGTATCTTTATCGTTACACGGCTGTAAAGCATGTAGAATTTCATTATTGTCGAAATATAATAAATTTAAAATATAATTAATATAATATATTTAAAAGTTATATAATTGCCAATTTTATTAAAATACTTAAAAGCAGAAAAATTTATGAACGAATTCAAATTTAACCGCAAAAATAAACAGCTGTTGCAACTTGCTAGCCAATTTTTACTGAATCCTGTTCGGCGAAAACTCAGTAAATTTCTTTCTTTGGGAGACAAAGACATCTTATTCTTCATTACTTGCTAATTTTTACTAACATTTCTTAACGAACATGGCTACATATGGACAAATAAACACTCACGCCGAAAATCATCAAAATATGAAAACTTAACATATAGCCACTTCCAACCAATTTTTCAGATGTGAGAATTACTATTTAATCCTAAAATGAATTATGGTGACCAATTTTTTATTATTTTTTTTTAATATATTATAGTTGTCCTTATAAATATACCTAATCGTTTTTTTTATTCTTCTTCTCTTTTACAGGTCGGCAATTTTGAGTGAAGTACAAAAACAAGGTAGCACAAAACTTCCATCAAATAAATCAGTACTAGTATTAGGCGATAATGCCACCGGTAAAACGACTCTTATAGCGAAATTGCAAGGTGTCGAGGATCCGAAAAAAGGTTCAGGATTAGAGTATGCGTATATCGATGTGAAAGATGAGTACAGAGATGGTAAGTCTAAGTCCAAATAATAGTTATATGTATTGTCCCCATTAGAGATTAATCACTTTGTTTTGTTTACGTTTCTTCCCATCCACGAAAGACTTAAGAAGCGCTATTTTTTCTGATAGCCTGTAGTTGTATAAGCTTTGCGTTTTTAATGTCACCTATGGCAATAAACGACGACCCGACCCTTTAAAGTTCTCTTTATTTTTGGAAGTAGGAAAAAGTTACGCGAAGCCATGACGGCCGAATATGTTGCCTAGAGTATCGGCAATGTATTGTTTTTGGCCAAAAATTTCAGGTGCATAATCGGGATGGAAAATTATTGAATCCACAGTTCGGATTTTTTTCCCAACTGCTTTACACAAATGTCCCGCTAGTAGAAATTCATGCAGCGCTTTAAAATCCAAGAACACACTGAGCATAATCCTTACGCACCGTAATTGTTGATCTCTTTGCGATCTTAGCGAACCAGAATGCCGCGACTGCGATAACTGAATCGTTAGTCTCGACGTCATATCCATAAAACCTTGACTTATTTTATTGACTCATGAACAACTTCCATTTGTCGCTGTACTTGTTCAAAATTCAATATTCTTAGAACAAAGTTCGCTGGCACGCATTTCATACATTGAAGAAACATGACGTGACATGATCCAATCGATATGCCAAAATTATAAGGTCGTAAATATATTGGGTATGTCGGGCATGAGTCTAGACAAGTAAAAGTTAGTATATATTATTACTCTTGCCTCATGATATGGTGATGATTGGTTGGCTATCAACCATGCACTACTTTGCTTGACAATCAGTGAATGTCATTTAAGGTCCGTCGAACGATTCTCTAACATATTACTTTTCCTTCGTATTGCGCTCGCCGGGTGTTCTGCTTCTTTAACGGGGAACATAGATGTCTCGCGTCATTGGGATGTTTTCTGTTATGGTCCTCCAGTCGATATTTTTGTAACTCCTTCATTAGTGTTTCGCTCGTCGCGTCAGAAATTTCATGGTCCACCTATGCAGCCGGTAGGTAATGAGGTGCCTCCGAAATGCGATTCTTACACTGTGAGATTGACTGTGTTCCACATATCCAGGGCCACAAGGATAGTTCGCACGCAGTTTCGATTTTAGACAAGGTCATTTATTATTTAGGCATTTATATGGCCTGAAATTAATTTCCCATCGGTTTTGATAGTGAGAGATCCTTATCCTGCTTCCATATGTCGGGTATTGTTATAGTGGCCAAAGACAGATTGAGGGTCTTCTGCTTGGTTGGAGCCGATGAATTCGGAGTCTTTTGTCTTCCCTAACCTCCTTTCTAAATAAATCAAGCACTGCGCTTGTGTTTGCAGTCTAGTCACTTTTCGCTTGATAATCGGTCAGGCCATTCTTTCGGTCCAACGAGGCGCTGCCACCTAATGAAATTTTAACCTGACCAATGCGTTTCGCCAGATTTAATAAAGATTTTACGGTTTCACCAGGAGGAAAGTTAAGTGTATTTCCTACTTATTTTGCTTTTGTCGTACTCTCAAATTAAATTCCCTGGTTACAAGATCTCTGGTATCGACTTGGCATAGACAGTCGTACTTTGAAGCTATTTTCGTTGCTTTAGTAAAAAAATGTGGGCTTTTTCTGCAATTAGGCCTGCCGGGCTCGACAATGATAACGCTCCTCTAAATGAGGACTTGGGTAAACCTTCCTGACATCCCCGTCAGTCCGACTTTCCTTGAGTGGCCGGCGATATTTTTGTTGCCGCTGGTGTGACGTTTTTCTGAAGATGAAGCAAATCAGGGGACTTAAAACCCAACCGTTAGGTACAGTTTCGTGAGCAATATGTTATAAAATCTAGAGTAAAATATACTAATTTTTACCTGGACACTTCTAAATTACTCTTTACTTTTTTCAACATCAGACACAACACGATTAGGCGTTTGGATTCTGGATGGCGATCCAGGACATACAAATCTCCTGCGTTATGCCTTAAATGAAACGAACTTCGAACATACCCTCGTCATACTCACAGTCTCAATGACAGAGCCATGGGCATGGCTTGAACAATTGAATCATTGGATTAAAGTGCTCTCAGAACATATTGAGAGTCTGAAATTGGAACCACAAGAGAAGCAGGAGGCACGACAACGGCTAATCACCTCGTGGCAGAGTTATTGTGAGGTTGGCGATGATCTGGATCCCGGTTCGCCGGTGAAACGTACGATGAGAAATAATTCGGTTGATGACGACGATCTACTACCGCTCACCGAGGGAGCGTTGACAACAAATCTCGGCCTGGATATTGTTGTGGTGGTCACAAAGGTATGCGGAAATTATTGCTTCATTCCAAAATGCAATACAGAAATATAAATTTGATTTATTTCTTCCACTACAGACGGACTACATGACAACGCTGGAGAAGGAGTACGATTATCGAGATGAACATTTTGATTTCATACAACAGTGGATACGTCGTTTTTGCTTACAGCATGGCACATCACTTTTTTACACAAGCGTTAAAGAAGACAAAAACTGTGATCTCTTATATAAATATTTGACACATCGAATTTACGGCTTACCATTCCGAACGCCTGCGCTATTCGTTGAGAAGGATGCGGTTTTAATGTAAGGATTTTGAAAGCATATTTTTTTCTTAAATGTGTTTAATCATTTGAATATTCAACTCTAATTTCCTAACAACAATAGCCCCGCAGGTTGGGATAGCTTGAAGAAAATAAGTATTTTGTATGAGAATATGCAATCGTGTAAGGCAGAGGACTACTACACAGACATTATCTCGCCGCCACAGTCCAGAAAAGTAATTAAATATGCATATTTATTATTAATTAAGCGTAATATTCATTTATATATATGTCTTTTTGTAGACTGTCGCCAATCGTGAAATCGAAGTGCAAACAGAGGACGAACAGACGTTCTTGTCGCGGCAGCAAGAGATTCTCAAGCAGGGCGGTCAGATGCGCGGCGAATCACCACTGCGCACTCAAGGCAGCAACAAAGGCATGCAACCACGCACACCCGGGTCCGGCGGACAGGGCTCACCCATAAAAGTGAATGTCAAACCAACACCAGCTACACCGGGCAATGAGGGTGTGCTCGCCAACTTTTTCAATTCATTGTTGCACAAAAAATCCGGCTCACCCGCCACACCAGCGACCCCACCTAATGCGCCCAACGCGGCCAGTACACCACGCACTAACGGCACCGATGGCGCCATTGATAAATTGGCAGTACGTTCAGATGCTGCAGCCGAACTCGATCGTTTGACGAGAAGTGCGAAAAAAGAAATGGATTATTCACAAAGTGAGTGTTAAGCAGCTAGGCGTAGAATGAAAAAAAAAAAACAAAAGATTTCAAATCGACTAGTAAGACACAAGTATATGAACAACACCACAGTGCGCTTTTGATAAATCGGGGGGAGAGGCGGCGTGAGCAACAACAAAATTCAAGCAAAAACAAGCAACAAGTAAACAACGTATAGTTAAGTGAAATGAAATGAAATGAAATGGAATGAGTGAAAGCCTTGTGTATGTAAGCACTAAATGACGTGTGTAATAAAACGTAATCCCAAAGGGACTGACCACTAGCTAAGCAGCCCTTAAAATGTACGAGCGAAAATAACGGATTCAAAAAAATATCTATATATATATATACATTTGTAAGAGAGATTCCCTCAACTATCGAGAGACACGGAAATGAATGTTTTAAAGAGGATATATTTGCAAATTTTAAAGCAAACTAAAATAACACAATGCAATCTGCGTCTGTCTATACACTTAACATAGCAGTAACGTTAAAAAAAAAGTAAAAAAGAAGAAGAGAAGAAAATAAAAAATGTATTTTCACCATCATCATTGTCTTGCTAAAACTCGTGTGTGACGCCTGCATATGTTGATTTGTTGTTCCCTACAACGCTACTGTTTATGGTAATTATTTTAAATATTTATTTGCCTTCCAAAAAAAAAAACGCATTAAATGCAAAACATTTGTCATTGTCTATTATAAGCGCTGAAAACTGCTGTAAACAAATTACAAAAATAAAACTATTAACAATTACGAAAAGTGTGAGCAGGAAGCGTTGATAATGTAACATCGAGTTCTTTTGATTTTTAAAGTCAGGTTAAACACTTATCTGTCATACAAGACGAGACGAGATGTCGAGACGAGACCAGTGAAACGTTAGTGGGAATATATTTTCTTTTGCGCTGTTGCTCAAAGAAAATTATAAAACATAAATATACGCGAATATATGTATGCACAGCCTTTTTTATGTGCAGTGTTTTAGAGAAGATGGCGTTTGCATGTGTTTCCCCATTTTTAAAGCAAATTTTTAAGACGTTCTCATGCTTTTGTGTTCCAAGTAAACGATTTTTCACTTTAGCGTAAATTATAAATAAGAGCTATGGCAATATTATTGGCAAAATTGCCATTCTTTATTTTTATATGCTAATTTTTATTATTTTTTGCTCAAAGCTTAAAGTATACTGTAATTTTATATAAATATATATTTAAATATAAATATTAAATTTAATTTAGTAAACACGATAATTTCAATTCTAAACTGTGCATAATTTACAATTAAAATAAATAAAATAATAATAATAATAACAATAATAATGAGTTATATACAAAAACATACATACATGCATACATATATTTGTAAAATGAGGAGATTCTAAAAAAAGCAAATAAAAAGTAACAATGAATATGCGTAAAATGGTTGATCAAAGTAAAAAAATAAATATTTAAGAGACTTCATAAGGATATAAGAATCGACAAGAATTCTATGTAGTACGTTCATTCCAGAGCTGTAAAATACTCAATAAACGCGGTAATTCAAATTGAACAATTACAAATACATGTTATTAGCATTCACTACATTTTCTGGCATACAATTCAATATGGTTAATTTTAAACTAAAAATTTTGAAAAAGAAAATTTGAAATAAAATGTAATTGTACTTTGATGGCTGTTTCTACAAATTACCATTATTTTGTCAGCTCTGGCTTCAACTACATGTGTGTTGAAATAAACAAACAAAATATATATATATATTCTGCAATGGTTCTTTGAGATTAAGGCAACCAAAAGAACTTCTAATCCGAGATCTAAATTGAATTTCGGAGCAGAAGAAATTTGTGTGATGACGACAAATTTCCATACATGCGTTTTAGCGTCTTGAATCAGTTCAATAACTGATTACTCAACTATTTTCGATTGGTTTCGAATATTGAAAATTAACTTAGTATATTGCGAAAGCAGCTTTTCAACTCTAGTAAACATTGTTTGTGCGTTGACAACTTTCTAAAGATTGTAAATCTTTCTATGTCAGCAACTAGTGGTGAAATTTTATGAGCAAATCTGGAAAAAATTATCAAAAATATTTTCAATTACCATTAAAGAAACTGAGAATATACTGTTATTTACAAAACAGCATATGGACTGTCGTTATATTTATTGGTATAAAATAATAATTAAATTAAACACTAAAATGGAATACGTGTATGTAAAAAATTGCAAATAGATGTTTTGGCAAAACGCTCATGGCGTTAGAAAATTTAAAACGACTTTAATTTTGCTGTTTTGTTTTGTTTAGTGAAAGAATTTTAGGTAACCATTCATAACTTATGGTAAGCAATCATTTCAAACTAATTTCGAAAATCAATGCAACACCTTAGCATCGTTATTTTGTCGGGCATAAAAAGTCATAAATAATAAATGCAGCAAAAACAGTTCATATTTGTCATCTTTATTGTCCAAAAAGGAAGCACATCGTGACGTGTATGTATGTTAAAGAAATAAAAACGTTTAACTCGTAGCAAAAGAAATACTTAAGGCTAAATAAAATAAAAAAAATTGGTCGCTGTCAACATTTCTTTAAACTATCCAATCCTATCTATACCATATCTATTTTCTTTTGCGAGCATAACTTTTTTTTTTTTAAATAGAATTTAAAAAAAGCTATAATTAATGTCAAGCTGAAGCAAATTAAAGTCAAGTAATTATTTATATTTATGCATTAACTAATAAAATTTGCAACAAACAAGCGAAGTGTATTATTGCAAAAGCTTGTTTCAATTTTCCTTAAGGAAAATCGCTATTACAAGCTTAAATAAGTTTTTGTATTGTATAATTTAAAAATAGCACATAAAACCGCTCTAAAGTAATTACATATATAATATGATGATACAACAGATAGGTCCCGAGGCAGTTTATAAAAATTGTATTTCGCACATACGAGTATTTTATATTGGAGTGGTAGTTGTTAAAATTGATAAATCGGCAATGTTTGCAACTGCTTTAAAAGAGAACACAAAATAAGGATTCCAATTTGTACGCACTTTCCCACATTATTCACATTTAAGTATAAACTAAAAATTCAGCAACCAAACTTATTTTCCAAAAATAAAAAAAACATAAAACTAAAAATATTCTTAAAATTATAAAAATACATAAGTAAAATTGCTATACAACCAACCAACAACAATATTAAATAATTAATAAAAATACTAATGATTTCAAAATAAAAATAAATTCCGAAAAATTAAAGTGGAAAACTATTAAAAACAAAACGAAAAAAGTTGTGTTTTATTAAAAAAAAGAAATGATAAAAGTTACGGTCACAGTTTACAATTTTCACATTTGAGAGCATTGAAAAGAAGATCATAAAAAATACTATCTCTTAGGAGTTGCATTTACTTGCTCATTACAATTGTCTCCATAATCGTCTGACCATGGCCAAAGAATGCTGATTTAACAGCTTCTAAAGGATCACTATAATATACGGCTCGTGGTGTTGTTTTCTACGGCTTGAATTGGTATAGATTTTGGTTTTAGCTAATTCAGCTGAGCCGATGAAGGTTTATTGGATGGCCATGGATTAATCTCTTCTGATGCTAGTATAATTAAAAATACATATGCTTTACCTAAAAGCTGAGAGTACAAAAATTATTTATTAAATACAATACCTTCACCGTTCATTTTAAGCGTTATTCAAACCTATTCAAATTTTTTTTGCAATTTGAAAGGCTTAAGAATTAATTAGGTGAACTTAATGTGAGGCAGAGTGTTGGTCAATATGGTTGCCAATTCCGTTTTTTTTTAGGATTGTCAAAATGTTAAAATTAAAAAATAAGAAAAAAATAAAATATAACAAAAAAACAAGAAAATTCAAAAATATGACGAGTTGAATAAAAAAATATTACCTACAATTTTCTTTTTTTTAAATTACTTTATATCAAAATCAACCAAGGGACTGAGAAATATACATATATCTACATACATACGTGTATTAAATATGACTATCAACTGTATCTTAGCTCCGTTACTAAATGTTAGTGAAAGAGTAGCATTAATTTGTGATGAGGTTGCGAGAAATTCGTAAGAATCATGAGACCACCACGAAAAATAGGTCCTAAATCGCATAAACTCAAAAATGCTTTTTCAACTAAGTCTTCAAACCAGCCAACTCATCCGGCAGCGGATTTGGGTGAAACGGATACCAGCAGCTCTGCCGAAGAAGACTTGCAAACAGATGATCAGAACTTTCGTTCGCCCACACCCGAACCCAACGATACTAATTACGGTTTGGAATTTACACATACCGGTGACCACCATATAGATAATCTGTCACAAGGACAAGCGCAGTCATCAAAAGCACTCGCCAACAGGTTATGTGAAAATCAAATTGCTAAAAATATCTCTTTAGGCGTTGGGATGCAAAAAAGTTTTGCAACTCTAAGTGCAAGTGTAGACCCTAACAAGAATGTATCGCAATCTGCGACGGAAACAGAGCCGATATTGCAAACAACACCAAGGAAAACTTCGGATAAAAAGCAAATCAAACAAAAGAGAAAGCAAAAGAGCAATGTAAAATTTTTGAAAAGTTATAAACTGCTAGCAGCTCGTACAGATTTTATGATTGCTCGTTCGGCGTTTGCGCGCGTTGTACGCGAAATTATGTTGAGCATGAATACGGAAGTCAGATATATAACAGAAACCGCATTCGAGGCTTTACAAGTAGCCACTGAGGCCTACGTTGAAGGTCGCTTGGAAGATGCGAATCTCTTAGCGTTGCATGCGCGAAGAGTTACGCTAATGGCGAAAGATTTGGAGCTAATCAATTTTTTGCGTGCCAATCAAAGGTGAAAGGTTGATAGCAGAAGAGAATTAATACATTGGTTCATTGTCTATAGACGAATCATTATTTTTAATGTACTTGCCAAGAAAATATTTGCAATCAATTTAAAACCAACGGAGAACCATTATATTTTCATTTTTGGGTTTTTTCCAAAACATTTATTGTAAAAATAAAATTTTAATTAAGACTTTTAATAATGCAAATATACTTCTTTTTTCTTTTTATTACCTTAAAAACTATTTCATATTGGTTTTTAAAGCTACTTACGTATAGAAGAAATGAAAATATATGTATATCCTTACTTAATATGGTATTTAGCGTAATGTGAAAAAAATATTTCTGGAAATAATTTAGCCTTATAGTACATATGTATAGATATAAATATTATGCATATTTTTATTTTACTGTATCTCCGGTTGCATTTTTATGTTCATTACTAATTCAGTTACCTTCTGCATAGCTAAAGCTTGTTTTCGTTCACTCATGCTACAAATGGTTTCTACAATCATTTGACCAAAACCTTGCACTATAGGGTTTTGATTTCGTACTTTTATTCTGCCGCAAACTTGTTTAAACAAATCTAACGCAGAACATAATTCCTGTTCGACATCAGATTCGTATTTTCGTTTGCTGGTGCTCGCAATTTGTTGTTGATTTGAGATGTCGTCAATATCTTCTTGATCGATTTCCTGTTCGCACAAAGCTTTACTCTGGAAAGGATCTGTATCATACTCATAACTATCTGTGGTATTTTCCTGCTCAACAACAAACTCTACATTTTCCGTTGGATTTTTTGTTGATTGGAACGGAGCTGAATTATTACGACTGCCGAAAAAATAAATACAATATATTTAAGACGATGTTTGAAATATATTAATTGCAGCTTTTTACCATCTTGGTAAAATGTGGGGCCTTAGAAACTGCAAAGAGTCGTAAAACGGCCAAACATGTTCTGGGGACATTCCATTATTATTAAGCGCAGTTATTCGGCGCATTTCTCGGCCGTATCTATCCCTCAGGGCTACCCATTGCTGCATGCATTGTTCCTCTTCACATATAAAAATGCAAAATTTTTAAATGGAAATTATTCTGATTATAAATTTTATTTAAGACATTACTATCAATTCCCATCGCACTGGCTATTTGCCTCCAAGCTTTCTTTTTCCTGTCCGAACTTTTGTAACCAACGTAATATCTGTTATAAAGACATTCGTGTTCTTTTACAAGGCGTATTAGAGCCGCTCTATCGATAGAATCATATGGATTTGGATTTGACTGCGTAGAAGAAATTGAAAAATCATTATCTAATCTTGGATCTCCTACACCTATTCTGTAAATAAAAATATTTTTCTTTTAACTATTAGAATATGTACAATAAATACATTATAAGGACGATAATAACTTACGGGCGAGGAATAACGTGAATTCTCAGGAACTCCATATTCTTTAATAGCCTCCACGATGATGTTTTTTTTCTAATCTCCCTACTGAAACGGTCCCGCAAATTTTTCCAATGTCTTTCAACTTCAAATTCTTTTTTAAATATAAAACAATAATTATAAAAATAGTCGAATTCAGTTGTTATTGTTGCAACCGCAAAATATTCCCCAAAAGGGTTTTCGGGGAAAATTGCGGAAGCGCAAGTCCTGTCAAAAAGATCTGACTGTCGCGGAAACTATTGGATTTTAGTCGCCTCTTACGACAGGCATGCCTTACCATGGGTAAATTGAGCCTCAACTCGCAGGTGCTGAATTTAGTTGTTACCTACCATCAGTTCCCGAAGCTTCAGCGAGTTCTCTCCAAGCATTTTTTCTCTTTTCGAGACTCTTATAATGTCTATTTCCTTTATCATATAAACATGGGTAGGCCTTGACACAGTCAATAAATTTTTCCATATCCATTGCCAATACAATTTATTATGCAAAAAAATTAAAATAAGAACTGATACGCTTTATAAATGTAAATCCGATCAATTCAACAAAAATTGACGCTCACGGATATAATCTTAACAACACAACATCAGAAAGCACAACAAATTTTTAGGCCCAGGCGAATTCCTAAACGTCAGAGCGAATTCCTGAACGTCAGAGCGAATTCAAAGAAGGTGCATCTCTGTTTTTAGTCATATGAAAAGATAATTTCCCAATTTCAACTCTAATGTCAAAAAAATTGAATTCGCTGTTCGGGGAAGTGTTAAAAGCCAAATTTTGAAAAAAAAACTACGCATTTTCTTCGATTATTTAATGTTATTTTAAGAAAGACTATACTGTCAACCTTGTATAGCAACGAGAAATGAGCCGAGCCGGTTTTACGGAAAAAATCAAATCTTCGTTGGTTTCTGCGGGACAACCGTCACTAACGGCATGGGCAAGCGGTGACAACATTGTGTTTAGATGGCCCTCTCATAAGATAGGTTACTAGGGACGGCTGGTACACGCGTCGGGTAGTTGCGGCATAATCCTGAACACCGTAGCGACTGAAGGATGTGAAACCTGCATATAACGGCCATCTCCTAATATATTTTACACTGTTTTAAAGTGTTGTTGTACTGGTAGATATATTTACAATTTTTTTATTAGAAAATAGAAGAAGGAATGATGAATTATATTGATAAATCATACAAATTACTGATTTGAAAACATGATTATATGTTTTTTTGTATTAGAGATATTTAACAGGCCTATTCTGTCGAGGTAACAAAATTCACTTTGGTATTAAAATTTACCATTCAGTGAATTTTGTTACTATTTTGTATTCTGAGTTGAATGTCACTCTGTGAATATTGTTCCCAGGGAAATAGGAGGTAACAAAAAAATCTGCTGTTTGATTTTGTGTCGTTAGTTTGAGAAAAAATAAAAATCAAAGGAGATAGGAATATTTTAGGCCTGGAATTAAGTGAAAATAAAGAAAAATGTGTAAAATGGTGTATGCCAAGAAGTTTGCGAGAAAAAATTGGCCTTGGAAGATAGCGTTTTCATTCAGCTTTTTTGTCGCTTAGGAATATTTTCCAAAATTAAATTCAAATAATTATGATTTAATAAACAAATAAATAAAACTTATTCTTTTTCTGCTCTATCCATTTCGATGTGAATAATCTTTTTTTTTTATTTTACCAACTGGCAAATGTAATGTGACAGGGACGAGAAAAGCAGTGCTGCCAAAGTTATTTCAAACAATGTAACCAGCTCGTCAGAATACCAAAATTTTCAGGTGTTAAAAAAGTAGCAAAATTTACTTACCGGTGCAGTGAGAATAGGCCTATTAGGGTGTACTTAAGAGCATTATATTGATCATGATTGCAGCATTGTAATGAATAGATTAGCTGTAAACTTGCTGTTATTTTTTCATACTAATCTAGTACAATTATTTAAAAGACGATGAAATCACTCTGCATTTTATAACTTTAAATTTGAAATAGTATGTATTTCATTTAAAAATATTATTGGTGTTTTTTATTGCACAACTGAGATTTTTTATTATTTTGCTATTTCAAAGTCCAATATTGCTAAGGTAAGTACTTCACAGTAGAGTACCAAGTATACTTTGTTTCCCAGAATGTTCTAATAAATGTATTCAAGAAATATTTATGGCTGAGATGTTTAGTATTATTTCAATATGTTAAAAACTTTATATCCTTTATCGGCTCCCGCCGCTGCTATAATGAAAAAGTAACATTTCTTCATAATATTGGTACAGCTGGTCAGGTATTTAAAAAAAGATTAATTGAATGGTAGGAAAAAAACGTTTTATTTGATGAAAAACTTACTAGAAGAAAGAAAGGTTTAAATTATGGTTTAACAGGTACTTACACCTTTCTGCGTTTGAGGGCCACAGCCGCGCTATAATGTAAGTTTACGGCTTTTGGCAGCGTTTAAAACATATCTTGGGCCAGGCCAACACCGGCCACGCCGAGCACAGTATTTTTCCGCAGTTCGCCTTTCAGTTATATTACAAATAGCGCATATTTTTTAAGTTCTTAGTTTATTACTTCGTAAATTCTTATACAAAAAAATGCATTTGTTTAAGTTTTCATAACTTATTTAAAAATAATTATTATACATATGTACATATATGTATGTGCGTACATACATGAGTGCATCCCAAATGAGGGGTATTTCGATTAACTGTAAGTTTTCATTTAGTACTTTAGCATGTTAAAATATGTAAATTCTCCCTTTCCCCCTATTGAACTTAATATCCATTTGCACAAAAAGTTAATATACCCCGGTTAGCTAGTTTTCGGTTCGAGGTACAAACAGTGTGCCCTGTACTGCTTGTACCTTTAAGTTCATAACTAATTCTGTTACTTTTTGCATAGCTATTGCTTGCTCTTGATTACCCATGCTACTAATAGTTTCCACAATCATTTTACCGAATGCCTCTACTATGGGATTGTGCCGACGCAATTTCATTCCGCCACATCCTTGTTTACACAAAGGAAGAGTTTCTTCCTCTTCAACATCGGACTCGTAATGTCGTTTGGTACATCTCACTTGTTGTTCACATGCAAATGTTTCTATTGATTCATTTAACTTCTTTATATTCTGCGATTTTGATGAAGTTGGTCTGTTTTTTTGGTCGCTCTCGTAAAAAATATCTACTTCTTCATGTTCCATTTCCTGCTCGGACAAAACTGATGTAGAGTCTTTAAATTGGAATGGATGAGTGATACATTCGTAGTCATCGTTAGTATCTTCGTGTTCAACAATAAATTTTTCATCCTCGTCCGTTTTGTGTTCTTCTCCCTTAAGTGAAAAGCTTTTATCCTCCTGGTAAGTACTATTTAATAAAAAAAAGGGGGAAATAATCACAGATAAAGTTCGAAATATGTTAACTATAGATTATTACTGTTTTGGTATTATGTGAGGTTTCAGAAACTCCATTTCATTGTACATATGCCAAAGATGATCTGTTGTTAACCCATTATTCGAAAGGGCAGTCATTCGCCGATTTTCTTTGGTATATCGCTCGCGTAAATTTGTCCAATACCGCATACAGTGTTTTCCTTCAAACATAACAAAAGAATTTAAAGTTATTATAAAGTAAGTATATATAATAATTGCTTACTATTAACCCCCATTTTACGAGCTATTTCGCGCCAAGCATTCCTCCTCTTATCCACAGATGTATAATACTTGTTACGTCTATTGTAGATGTATTCATGTTCCTTCACTAGCTGTATTAGAGTCATGCCGTCAATCTGATCCGGTTTTGATGTCGACTGCGCAGATGAGCTTGGGTTATCGTCCTCATCACTGCTTTCGACTTTTCGTATATTTTGTCTCATTCTGCAAATAATAAGAAAATTGCACTGCGTGATTACACAAACTAACAATCATTTTACTTACGGACGAGGAATAATGTGGGCTTTTAGAAATTGCAAGCTTTCTAATAACAGCCACGGCCTCTCCACATTTTTTGGAGCCCTTATTTCCTTAGTAAATCGTTCTCTCAAATTTTTCCATCGAGCCATAACAAGAGAGTCTAAATATGATTCACAAAAATATTAGTATTTAAAAAAAATGTATATATGTATATAAAAGGTTAGTTCAATAAATAATTACCATTAACTCCCATTATTTTACCAACTCTCTTCCAAGCAATTTTTTTTTGCGTGTAGCTCTTAAAATCCTTGTGACTTTTGTCGTATAAGCATGGACAGTTGCGCACAGTCTCAATCAACTTTTCGTCATCCATTACTATCTAACATAACATATGCCTTTTACTGGCAAAAACGATTTTTTTTTTTTTAATTTCACTTCAATTTAAAACCAAGTTCGAAAAACTCACTAATGCAAAGTAGGTAGAATGAATGTATACTAAAAAAAACTAAATGTGAAGAATTAGCAATCAGCTGTTTATGATTATGGCTGAAAAACACAATGCAAACGTGAATACTGTTATGGCTACGGCAATATGGCATGGCAACCCTAATGCTGTACAGTGCTGCTTTTGTTGTTAAGATAACTGACCTTTAATAAAATTTAACAAAGCAAACAGATGCGAAAAATACAGACTAATGTTGATGTGATACTTTTTTCAGTGTCAAAGGTAAATGCAAAATAAAAAGCAATGTATTATCAATCCATTTTGATTTTAATATCTTTTAAGTCATCAACTTAAATACAATTTGAACTTGTGAATTAAATAACATTACTTCCTAGTCAATATTATTGTAAGGTGTGCACATATGTACATATCTACATAAATGATACATGAATATGTTGTCACAGCAGTCGGTCGCTCGTTAACGTACTAAATGTTATACATTTAAACATACTGCTCCAAATCCTATAAATTCCTAATTATCAGCATTCCTTTACCTTTCAGCTGTCTTCATTCATCACCTTTACTCAGTGTCCGGTTGCATTTTTATGTTCATTACTAATTCGGTTACTTTTTGCATAGCTAATGCCTGCTTTCGTTCACTCATCATGCAGATGGATTCTACAATCATTTGGCCAAATCCTTGGACTGCAGGATTTTGATGCTGCGTTCCTGTTTCACTAAGTGCTTCTTTGAAATTATGCAATGCAGAAATTATACCCTGTTCGACGCTAGATTCCTTGGGTCGTTTTCTCTTATTTATTCCCGATTGATTTGCAGTGGTTGAGGGAATGGTTTGGATTTCTATCGACTCATTTAGATTAATTCTATTCTCCAGCTTTGGTGATAATTCTATGTATTGGGTGTCATGTGTGAAATAATCATCTACTTCTTCGGCCTTCATTTCCTGATCATCCAGAACTGATGTCGAATCTTTAAACTGGAATGGCTCGGTGGAACATTCGTAATCGCATGTGGGTTCCTCTTGTTCAAAACAACTATCATCTTCTTCTTCATGTTTTGTTTGTAGTTCTAGTGGCTTAAGCGAAAAGGATAAGCTCTGCCCAACACTAATAAATAACCAGGGGAAGTATTTAAAATACATTTATATATGGTAATTGAATTTAGTTACCTTCTTGGAATAATATGTGGTCTTAGGAATTCCATTTCGTCATACAAATGCCAAATTCGTTCTGTTGTCAATCCATTATTAACGAGAGAAGTCATCCGCCTGCTTTCTCTTGAAAATCGGTCACGTATATTTGTCCAACGGCGGACACACTCTTCTCCTAAAAAAATATTTCTAAAATCATTACAAATACACATGAGAATGAAATATTTATGAATATATGAAGGTGTTTAACTTCTTACCATCAATCCCTAGCTCACGACCTATATTTTCCCAAATAACTTTTTTCTTAGACACATACTTAAAGTACTTGTTACTTTTGTTGTACAGACAATCATTAGCTTTAACGAGTCTTATAAATTTTACTTTATCATACTCCATTTGAAAAATATTTAAAATTTCTTTAAAGTGCGATTTGTACGTGAAGTAACGCAAACGAACTACCTCTTCTGTAATGGCGTAAAATCGTCAATCGTATATATCTCACGTCACGATACGATTATCTGTTTTTTTTAGGGTTGCCAAAGTTATGAGAGTATGCGGTATCGCTTATTTGTCATTTGTATTCCGTATGTCATCAGTCCTGACGTCTTGGCAGTATATAATGCAATATCAATCTACAATTTTTAAAATAATAGAATTCTATAATTTAATTACTCAAAAGTACTATAATAAATGATAATTACCAGTAGTTAACATGACATTTGAAGATATTGAAGCAATAGAGGTGGGAAAAATACTTTTTCCAAATATTTATATTTAAGAAAATGTTATTATGTGTGTCACATTTGCACAAACATACAAATATGTAGGCATATTAAACAACTACAAGCTACTAATATGCATATACATATATGTTACACAAACAGAGACTTTTAATTCGCCGCGTACATTAACATTATACTTTCAAGCCAAAGTGAATTCGTAGAAGGTGAAGTTGTCCCATCATATGACTACTGGTTCTTTCTTTCATTTCGCCGCATTACTCAAGCGAGAGCAATATCGTTACAACTACAACAATATTGGGTGTATTCACGTTTTTGACATTTACAGGCCTATTCGCACTGTTACCCGAAAAGTAAATTTTGTTACTTTTCTTTAACACCCGAAATTGAATTTGGTATTCTGGCGAACTGGTTACAATGTTTGAAAAAAATTTGGCAGCACTGCTTTTTTCGTCCATGTCACATTAAATTTGCCAGTTGATAAAGTAAAAATAAAAATATTCACATCGAAATGGAAGACAGTTCACAAAAAAATTAAAAAGTTTTATTAATTTCTTTATAAATTCATAAATATTTGAACCTTATTATGGAAAATATTCCTGGACAACAAAAAAGCTGAATGAGAACGTTATCTTACAAATAAGAGGGCTATTTTTTAGTTTCGAAAACTTCTTAAAATACGGGTTTTTGCACTTTTTTCTTAATCTTCAATGAATTTCAGGCCTAAGATATGCCTACCCATTTTGATTTTTTATTTTTTCTCAAACTTACAACACAAAAGCAAACAGCAGATATTTTTGTTACCTCCTATTTCGCTGGTAACAAAATTTACAGGGTAACAGTGAGCTCAGAATACGAAAATGGTACCAAAATTTACTGAATGGTAAATTTTAATATCTAAGTAAAATTCGTTACCTCGACAGAATAGGCCTGCTAGAGTACACAAACATTATATTCAAGGGACGTGAGGTGTTTGTAATATTGATACTACCTTTCACGACATTGGCTTTACTACTAACCAAAAGTGAATTCATAGAAAATGTACGTAATAAAACATTAAATTTACTGTTAATTTTCTTCCCTTCTTGGCAGTATATAGGTCACATTTATGCGAGTATATATTTCACCTCACTTTTTCCGCAGTCTTATTTCGTTATTGAGTTGCTTTATATTTTGAAAATAAATACCTTTTTGCTGATGGTGCCTTGACTAAAGGTATGAATGTTCTTTAACAATTACCCAAAAAGAAAGTATTAGGCCCTTATAAATTTTCTATTGTTTTTGTAAATCACTTACTTATTGTTTGCGCTCCCTTGTATAATAATAATTCTTCCTTTTTATCATACAAATTTTATAATGATTTCTACTAAAAATAAAAAGATTAGTGTCGATTTTCATACTTGAACAAACTATTTTTAGTACAATTTTTCTGGTTTTTTTTCAGTGAATCACATTAGAGCCGGGAACACTGCCAATACACTGCAGCTTTATGTCAAAATTACACCTCACACGTACCTATTGATCGTACCATTATAATTTCACCACGAACAAGATCATTCTATTGTCTCTATTTGTGTTCGTTGAGAAATGTTATTAAAAATTAGCCAGTAACGAAAGTAAGATGTCTTACTCTCCAAAAGAACAGGATTAGCGAGCACGTTGTATAACAGCTGTTAATTTTGGCTGTTAAATTTGAATCTGTTCATTTATATAGTTTATTTTTTGTGCTTTTGAGTATTTTAAAAGAATTGGCAATTATATAGCATTTTAAATATATTTCGATAATGATGAGTTTTTTACAGATTTCATATGATCACAAATCAGCTGTTTTTCAAACTTGCTAGTTTTTACTGGCTGAAATTTTCCCAGCTCGAAAAATTCCTCTCCAAACCAAAACGTCAAAATGGCATTCTCTCGTTACTAATTTTACTGGGCTCTCGGCTCAGCGCACACGATTCAGTTAAGTTCAGTAAAAATTGTTACTCTCCATACAATCGCCGAATAGAACTTATGTTAAGGTGCTGTCAGACACAGCAATTTGTATCTCGTTCAGCGCTTTATGCTGTTAAAAAATTCAATTTTGCCATGATAATACTCTGAAAGTCATTTTGCAGCATGTGTCTCCACACATTTACTTTCAAATTGTGTTCCGATTGCTCATTTTTTTTTAAATATTGTAAACAACTTTGAATTAATTGAATAACTTTTGAAGACACATCCCATGGAAGCCTCTATCAGACTACCTAATCATTTCAGTGTATTTCAAGCGGTGATAACTGCTATTATGAAGGCAGAAAAACAAATCCAAACCAGATTTAAAGGTAAGGATATCTTTATTTTCAACGACAGTCTGGCAGCAAAAAAAGTTTTGGGCTGGCCTGTCACCGATCTCTACACGGGAACATGTCTAAGATAGTAGGCGTTCTCTGAGGCCATTTTGCCAATGTAGACAACGATGTAATTATGTATGTTATGTATCTAATATGGTTCATAGAGAATCAAAGAGGTTGGTAAGGGGCTTTAAACCGGTCTAGGTGTAATTCATGTGATAATCTATAGCTATCACAACCTAACCTACACTTTTTAACCTTCATAAATATATCGAGCATACTAGGGCATAGGCGATAGCCGGTAGCGGTAGCCGAGTGGTTAGCATTGCGTACTGCCATTCGGAAGGCTCGGGTTCAAATCCCCAACACCCAAAAGTTATTGAAAATTAATTTAAATAAAAAATTAAGTTAAATTTTTTAATTGCGGTCGCCCTACGGTAGGGTATGTCCACCCCTCTGAGTGTGTTTCAGACATGAAATAAAGCTATTCATAAAAACCCATCAGCCGTTCGGAGGCGGCTTAGTATAAACTGTAGGTCAATCCATTTGTTGGAAAAACATACAGACGCAAAATCACAATTTGGAAGAGGAGCTCGGCCCAATATCGCTTCAGCGGTTACAAAGTGCCAATTATATGAATAAATTATATATATATAGTGCATATAATAGTCTCTTTTTTGAATGAGCTGATGGGCAGTAAAAATTATTACTGAACTTCGTCTGTTGAGACAAAAACCCAGTAAAATTTCCACCGAGAGATTTCATTATTGGCTTGTTCTTACTGACATTTCTCACCGAACAGAGCTACTGATAGGAATACATAGAACAAATTCAATTGATTTTCATTGAAAACTGCTGGTTGCATATACGAGTACAAATACTATGTTAGTAAAACCATTGCTAGAAAGTTTGAAAGTTCTAAAAACCACAATTTAATAATGTAAAATGTGGCATAAGTGATATTGACAAAATTCTTGTAGATGCTATAGTACAAACTTAAATCAAAAAAATAAAAAATAGACGACAACATAGATGAGTAGACTGTCGAATTGTGGTCAAAGTGGGACTAAAATTTTATCTGAAACTTTTTCCATTAGAGAGTCGCGCCTTGCTGAGCTATACCAATTATTCAATACAAAAAATAGATTGTCTTTTATGAAGCGTGTCAAGAAGTAATATGAAGAGACGTGGGTTCACTAAGCTGGAAGATAGTTTTGTTTACTCGTGTACCGTGCAGCTGCTCAGAAAGCCTTGCCGTGTCCTTTACACGACGTATTGTGTACCCTAAAAATTAATACAATTTATGAGAGTCTTAAAACTATCAAGGACAAAAGGACTAAGCAAGGCAACAAGTACGCGGTACAAAAAGGAAGAGTTCATAAATGGCCGACGAGTTTGACAAGTTTGTGTTGCACAGTGTAAAATCAAAGTACTTGCCGAATAAAGAGTTTAATGGAATCTCTTCAAATAACCAGTCGTTAGCAGCAAGAAATAGACAATTGGAAAAAAATTTCAATCTCAACGATCCATCGTTTACTTGAATGAGAATGGTTTACTAAATGTGGATTCTTATCCGAAAACGGTGAGTCAATGTAGCAAAATAAATAAATGAAAATAAAAAAACCCCCTCACCACTTAAATGGCTAATCAAGAGCGACAGGCAATCTGCGAAATGAGCACCAATTGCCTGTGACACGTTTTGTTTTGGAGAGTTTGTGCTCAAATTCAGGTATTGGCTAGAGGCTAGTCGCTTCATGAAGACGACAACAAACAACAAACAGCAGTTGCAATAACGCGTTCAAACGACTAAGATCGCTACGAAACGGTGAGTTCTCCGGCAAAAGTGGAAGAGAAATGAAAAGTAGTGCATACATAAATATTGTTGGCGGCTTGGGTGTAGAGTGTGTAGGGCAGGGGTTAAGAGAAATATAAAATATTTTTTATCTGTGTGTGTGTAGTTAACAAGTGGACAAAGTGTTAAAAAGTGCTTTTTGAAGATCAAAAAAAAAACGGGAAAAAATATGAAATGAAATTATAGAAGCGCGATATTTAAATATTTTCAAAAAAAGTTGTAAAAATTACTTTAAGTTAGCAACAGAATACTTGTATAAGAGTTAATAAATATGCTCCATAGATATGTTTACACACCTACATACATATATACTAAGTATATGTTAACTCATATTTGAAATTCTTGGCCGTCTTGGCTTAAAGCGTGTGCCACAGTTGTAGTTGTATTTGTTTGGCACTGTCAATGAATTTAAATTTCAAACTAGTTAGTTGGTTAGTTCGTGTATGCGTATATGTGTGTGTGTTTGATCAACAAGATCATGCTGGCTTAAAGTTTTCTTTTTTTTTTTTCTTTTTTTAATAAAACCAAGTTAAAGCGAAAACTAAATAGAAACTATTCTTACCGTTAGTTACAACTAGATGGTGGAGCTACACGATTATTAGTTATCTGAAAATGCATATTTTTTACATACTGAATAAAAAAATATTATTTTAAATAGCGAAAGTTGCTCAAAATAAAAGAAAAGTCATTAAAAAAATTTTCTCAGCGGTAAAAAAACACCAATTATATATGTATATAAATAAAATTAAAAGTAACAAAAATCATATTTGAAAATAATTGAAATCCACACCGCCTTCGTAATATTTACATAATTTTTTTTTTTTTATCATTTGTGTTAATATTATTTTCACTCAACTTCTCAATCACCTGTGTTTTTAGGCAATTTTATTTCGATACATTTCATTTCGATAAAACTAAAAGAACCCATAAACGCATAAAGCATTAGAAATGGTGGAAACAGTAGTTACCGTTGAACGCACCACGACCACACAAACCACTGCACCAAGCGGTGGTGGCGGTCTGAGCGCTTTGAAAATCAATATCGGATACTTCACAACAGTGCCGGGAATATTGAAACTTGTACAATTCGTAAGTAAACTAAACGTTTTTATGCATATAAATATTTAATTAAGCACTTAAATTCCAATATGACATGCATATGTTTGTAGTATTTACATACATATGGTATATAAAATAAAACACTGTATGTACATATGTACGAGTATACGAGTAGTAAAGCTCACTTAAGTTATTGCTATAGAAATTCAAAGACGTAGAAAGTGTAATTTTGCTTCGCCTTACTATCGATACGTCAGTGTCCCCATTATGACACATATATACATATAAATGTATATACATACGTATGTATTTATGTACATACTGTTATTTTAGATAAACTTAAAGGTGTTGCTAGGCTCAGCCATAAACGATAAGAGTTGCCTGCCTTTTGAGGTCGATAACAATTGGTAATAACTTTTTTTATTCTGTTTTGGAGTGTTCAAAGTTTGGCTTAGTCAATTTCATTTTCTGATTCATTTTCTTCCTCACCCTTCTCTTTATTGAATTTGTTGTAAAGGATAATCTCTTTGGAATTATGAAAAATTTAGAAAGTAAATTTTCCAAATATTTTTGTTTATATTGAGGCTCAAGTGTTGAAGAAGGATCTCGCACGAAACAGCGAAAGAAAGGCTTCATGCGGGTGCGTTCTTTTAACTTGGTTGTAATTGCGTTAGGAAGGAAGAAGAAGTGTTGCTAAATTGTATAGTTTAGATTTCTCATTTTTATTATTAGAAATGGAGTGTTCGATAAAGTTCTTTTCGTAACTTCTTCGTAAATTCAATATTTTATTAATTTTTTTCTTATTCCGAAACCAAAACTTTTAATGATGAAAAGGGTTTTACTAAAATTATCATATTTTTCCGCTTCCTTATCTTTTTGAACTTAGTTTATTCGACTTTGATGTTTAAAACAATAAAAAGATCTTTTCACAGTTGTGAATCGCAATAATCAAAAAAAAAAATGTATTATTTTGGGTGGAGTAACTTTGAAGAGACGCAAAAATAAGAATTATTATTGTTTATTTTTTATTTTTTAATTTTTTTAAAATTGTATTATATATATATATCATAATACACTTTATAGGAATAAACTTACTGAAGTCCTAATTTTAGATACTTTTAAAAAGTTGTGATTAATGAAATTTTCTCCGGAACATACCTACGCATACAGTTTTCATCACAATTATGATATCTAAAATAAGTTCCCGACACTCATTTACTTATTGTTTAATAACCTCATATTTCAAACTAAAGTCAGGCAGAGAAAGCCACAACTCAATCTGAACTCCAAGCTCCTTTGAAAAATGATGTTGACTTTTAATTCTAAAAACATATATACCTAGGTATTTTTCAAAGTGTTTGTATTTTCGCGACAGTAGTTAAAAGTTAGCGGTAAAAATACTTTCATGCCAAAAGTTTTGAACAATTGTTGCATTTTAAAATATCTTCGTTTTTATAAAAAAAGAGAATAAATAAACTAAATTAAAAGTAAATATAAATAAATAAATAAATAAGTAAATAAATAAAGAAATAAAAAAATTGTTAAAATATGACTCACCTAAAGACGAGTATGTCATATGTAAACAATATAGGATTTTCCAAAAAGAGTTTTTTTTTATTTTTAAACAACTTTTCCCTAAGGGATCCTTAAAGCATCAGTGGTTCCGTTGTTTGTGTGACACATAGCACCGTCTTGTTAAAAGTAAACATTGTCCAGATCAATACCATCGAAATCCGGGCAATCATTAGTCATATTTTCTAAATCTTTTCGAGTAAGGTCCATTGAATCCGCCGGAGCATAAACCGTTACAAACAGCAACACGTTGAGGATGAACAACAACTTTTCAACAATAAATCTTGGGGATTTTCGAACGCCAGATGCAGCAGTTTTGCTTACTGATCGAGGTGGAAATGTTTCTCAAATGAAAAAAAAAATTACAGCTTCAAAAGTGACATCTATGATACCAAAATAGCAAGCTATTCAAAGTAGCATCTCTTATTGGAAAACCCTTTATAAAGTTATCTAAACGTGTAAATCTCAATCATGTGCCGAGCTCAACCTGCATATAATGATACTACGTAGATAAGTGACAACTATTCAAACAAAAACAAAATAAAAAATAAAAAAATATGTATTTTTGTTAAATCACTTTTTAGTACCTAATTGTTTTACTTCCCTATTTTTTTGCTCAAATCGATAATTTTTATTTATATGTACACATATACATTTTTCATGCATGCCACATAAACCTATTTGTTTTTGTTTTCTTTTTTTTTTTTTTGGTAAATCACATTTATGTGTTAAAAGGTTTAATCATTCTTTCGTTGTATTTTTGGTAAAAAAAAAATACATATTTCCATATGAGCTTTGTTTTACAATTTGGTAAATTTTTCTTATCATTTCCATGAAAGATAAGGCAAAACTTTGAGCGTTTTTTGTGTTATCAAAAACAAAAAAAAAAATTAATAATCTATAATTAATAATGAATGATTAGTCATTGTCTAATAACTATGACTCAGTGGCACCAGTATCGGTATATATAATATAATATAATATATATATTGTATGAATTTTATGTTGATAACATGTAAAATACAAAATTTGAGTATTGATTTTAAGATATTAAAAACAATTTTTCGGAAATTTCAAAGCTTCTAAACTGTTAGTTTTTAATTTTCCGCTTTGCCTCAAACTGTTAGTGTATTCACTTAGTAGTTTCTCTTCAACATATTTTGGGCAGTTTTTTCTGATTTTATACAAATATATATTTTGACCAATTTGACAATCAAATCGAAGAAACCACACATTCTAACAAACTATGCGCATTTTTTTGAAGGGAAGAAGAAATAATATAATTGACCTTCAAATTTATATGAAGTGTTGTTATTGTTCCTCGCGTGGTATTTGGTCAGCGCTATTTGTTTACTATAATACATACATAAATAAATATATGTAAGTATGTACGTACGGTCATACATTTGAGTATATGCTTGAATGTATAGAAAAGCAAAGGTTTATTTTAGTATAACTGGATTTTTTTTAAATAGAATAAGAATATATAATTAATAAGTACGCATATTTAGAAATAATTCCATATGAAATTTAAGCTTTACTGGTGTGTTTATCAATAAGATTGCGTAATATTAAATTATTGGAAAAATTTTCATGCTCAAACGTCAAATTTTATAATTTCCTCCGCTTTAAATAAATTTTGTGAACTTTAAGCTGTGAGACGTCATCAAACATTTCGATAGAAAGTTGGCATTTATCGATAGTAGTCGATGAGTTACAATGGGCAACTTGAAATAGTTTGATTTCCTAAAACTTTATATTATTCTTTACGTTTTCTACGAATATTTGGAATTATTTTATTTTATTTGCCAACAAATGATAAATACATATGTAAATTAACTGCTCACATTTGCCTTGTAAATGATAAAATTTACGACCTTTGTGTTGTGAAATTTTCATTTTTTAGGTGTAGCCGCGCAGAGTTGTTGTTCTCTGGGGACTTGAGGTAAATACTAAATAAGAAGTTTAAGTATTTTTTTAAATAAAATATATAATATATAGTATTATATATTTATACATTTACATATGTGTATGTATATGAAAAAAATGTGAATATTACTTTTAAAAGTCTGAGAATATTAGCCGCCGACAAACAGGTGTTTCCATGGTCAGTTCTGTTGTGTTGAATTAGCAGCTAACATATATTTGTACATATATATTTATGTATGTAAGCATTTATTAAATTTTGTATATATTTACATACAGGTCTGTATGCTTATATATATATATGTAAATCATATATTTGTTAGTGCTAAAAACAAGTAAAAAAAGTTTATAATTAAATGCTGTTCTCATTGGTGACAAACAAAAGTACATACATACATATTCACATATATATTCATTTGCTATGCATAAAGTGTGAAAAATGGAAACTAAATAGCAAAGAAAGATGAAAAAGTGTTAAAATAAATTAAATAAAAATATTTTGTGTGTGTTTAAATACTTTTATATTAGATGCTCTTCTGCATACGTGCATGTACGAGTATATACATTTTCCTTATGTGCAGTGTGTGGGCAGTTCGATTGTTGAATAGAATATTAATGACCTGTAAGAAAATAGAGCTCTTGTGATAGCTGAATGATGAATGAAATAAAATTGTGCAACTGTTTTAAGCATTTGTGGACCTTTTTTGTTTTTTTTTGGTCGAAAATATGTATGTATATGTATTGTACTACGAAAGGGAAAATGATTTTCATATTTTTTAATTAAAAACTTCTAGTTTTTAGTGTCGGTAAAGCTTTATTTTGGGTTGAGAAACTATTTTTTTTTTTAAGTTTTATTGCTAAAATTAAAAAGTATTTTTAAAATACTTATAACTATCGCTCTTTGTTATCGATATAATGCATAAATAAAACCGAACCTTATTTAGTAAAATAATTTGGAAATATAGTTTCAGGCAGACCGAAAAACGCACAAATTATTTGAAAGATTATAGATTATAAATTATTTACCTATATATGCAATTCCCTATTTTTTATGAGTCACTCAAAAATTGGAAAATCAACAAAAAGCAAAACCTTGAAAAAAAAAATAAATTATTTAACAGAAATAATGAACAATAATTGCATGCTTTTAGCGATTCGTTTTTCTCTTCTACTCAAAAACAAATTTAAAATGCACAGTTAAACCAACTACCACCACCCACATGACTATACGATTTTTACCACAATGGTGAACTGGATGTATATACATCATTGATAAAATGTATAAACTCTCTGAGTGACAGTTGCAACAATTTAATGTCGTAAATAAATTGGCACGAATAATATTGATTAAATTTGTACAGATGTTTTTCTTTAAATGTGCATGTATGTATGTATGTATGAAGGAAAGCGAATTCTCATTACTCACTCATGTTTACTATCTAGTGAAATTTATTAAATCAAAATCGATGCGTAAATACAAAAAATGACACAATGGAATGAAGATGGAAATTGAGACATACCTACATATGTGT